AAGCAGATCATACAGTCAGACTGGTTCAAAGTTTTCTATCTAAGGAAAAGCAGTCGATTCAATCGACTCATTGACTCGACACCAATCACTCACACCAAGCATACTTGTAGCGACAGTGGAGAGGAAAACTCCTTTTTAACTGGAGGAAAACTGCCAGCAGAACTAGGCTCAGTGTGAGCGGCCATCTGCCGAGGCCGACTGGGGTTCCAGGAGACAGAAGCAGACATACAGGAAGGCCCCATTCAGGAAAGATACAGCCATACAGTACAAAGAGGCTCTGAGCCAGCTCCCATGACAGAGAATGAAAGAGAGCACATACCGTTGGTCACAATAAAAGAAACATGACTACTCTGAAAGACAGACCAAGCTTGAACATCGATAAACAAAGGTGTTGATGGCAGCATGACGGTGTCACATCCAATTAGGAATAGACCAGATTAATCTACTATGAGAAAAAGCAGATACTACAGAATGGGAGAATAGAGATAGAATGAAGCAAAAAGGGTTCCCTTCGCCCTCCAGCGGTCTAAGCCCATAGTCGCATAACTATAGAGATAGCTCTGGATATCCTGGTTGCACAACTGAAAGATCTGCCTCCCATTCTACTTTTTAGAAATTCTAGGAACCACTAGTAAACCTGCAGATTGAGAGTGAAATGCTCTGATAGGAACACAAGAAACAATCATACCTCTGATATGAGATGGAGTTTGGTCATTTAAGGTTTTACATGTTAAAAGGAGGATTTTAAATTATATTCTAGATTTAACAGGAAGCAATGAAGAGAAGCTAGGATAGCAGAGATATGATCTGTCTTTTTAATTTTCATCAGAACTCTGGCTGCAGCGTTTTGGATCAGCCAAAGGCTTTTAGCTACAGTTTGTGGGCATCNTGAAAATAATTAAAATAATGAAGCCTTGAAGTAAAAAAGCTATGGAGTAAAGAGAACTGGTCCTAACACTGATCCCTGTGGCACCCTAGACGTAACCCTAGAGCATGAAGAAGATTTATCATTAAAGTGAACAAAATTAAATCTGTCAGATAATTAAGATTTAAACCAGCCTACTGCTTTCCCCTTAATTCCTAGAAAATATTCAAGTCTTTCTAAAAGAATATTTGATCAGCTGTATGAAAAGTGCTGCACTGAAATCTGACAGGAAAAGAACAGATATAAGTCTAGTATCTGAGGCCATGAGAACATCATTGTGACTTTCACCATTCTTTTCAGTGCTATGATGAGCTGATTGAAACTCTTCAAACAGTTTATTTGGTGTAAGTGGTCACACTTATTTAGGAATTATTCTGTTAAGTATTTTAAATAAGAAAGGAAGACTTGATGTAGAGTAGGTCTATAAATGACAAAGTCATCTTAATCAAGAGATGATTGCTCAAGTACAGTAAAGGTTTAATTACAGATACTTTAAAAGACTGAGGTATTCCTGTAAAAGGGATAGATTAGTCACATCTATAATGGAGGAGGAAATCAGAGGGAATAATTCCTTAATGGTAACTAAAAAGTGGTCAGAGAGGACAGGGATGTGAGGAAACTGTCATCTCCAGTTATACTTAGTTTTGCAGACATAATGTGTCTAACTTTACTTTTTATCTCTGTCTTTTGTGTCACAATTTCTAGGTTTTTTTTATTTTAATTTTGTGTTTAGATCTTCGGTATTTCCATATTATATTATAATGATCTTTAGGTCTTGCCTTATTTAATCAATTTGCCTATACTAATGAGTTTTTTGAAAGTGATTGCCTTGTTTGAAAATTATTTTCTTTGCATTTAGTACCTTAGTTTGTTATGTTGTTCTGTTGTGGAAAAAAAAGGGTTGTTTTTTTTTTTACATCCAATTAATCCTCTCTCTCACTTACAGTACACATTTCAGTGTGAGTGCATTTTCTATTTTTTCATTTTATTTTTTGTTTTGTTTATTTTTTGTTTTGCTGATAGTGTGCCTTTTCTGCAGCTAGTTTCCTAAACGGGGACACCTGGTTTTTACTGGGGTCATGTCGACTCATGAAGTTGGTAATGTGGGATTGGAGAAGCTCACACTATGACACAGAGGTAAACTTGGTCCACGTTTTAATTGTTTCATGGAAGATTGCAATTTAGCAATCAAACAAATTGTTGGCTGTGAAAGTATGAAGTCCGCTCCAAGAATGAACAATGGAATCGTCATCTTTCTGTTGACAAACTCAATATGGTTGTTGAGCAAGGTGTGGTAACTCAGAGCACCTTTGTTCAGGTGGTGCTAGTTAATTTGGCCAAAAAGATCCTCTTGTCCCAAGTTCCTCCATTAATTAGTATTAAAAAGGCACAAAGAAAGCTGGCCAGGCATAGTCAGCTAATGTCACAAAATGTTTAACTGATTCCTTTGGGCTGTAAATCAATCCAACCTTAAACATGTTTCCTTTAGAAGGCAGGTCTTAATGGTTTTCAAAAATAACACTGACAAACTAAATTTAGTGTTGAATTTTGCAGTGGATGACTTTGATTACACTATTTTAGTTTATATTAGTACATTTTTCAGCTGCTGATGTTTTAGTTTCTGCCCTCTCAGTTCCTGATGAGCATTGGGTTCCTAGTCTGGACACCAGAGTTTTTGGTGTTGTTGGTTCTCATGCTGCTTTTTCTGGTTCAGTAGTAGAAGTCAGTGAGCAGTCACATGCTGACAGCATCAACACACAGACTAAAGCAGGGCAGATAGGATGTTCTCTCGAGGAGGATGGCGAGATGCCGATGGATAAAGATTTTTCTAAAGATAATAAAAACAGGAAACCAAATGAAGGGCATCGGTCTGCTTGTAAAGTGAATAAAAGATTTCCTTATAGTGAGTGTCTGCAGTCAGGTGATGCAGAGAGTAATGTTGAGTCTCTGGCCTCTACAGACATGGATTCACAAGAAGCGTGGCTATTCCTTAACAAGTATTAAGTTTTCTGCAGGACACCAAGGTAGTCAGAAATGTTAAAATGGAGAAAGTTACCTGATTTGCAGCTCTTCTTTGATTTGGTAAAGGCTTTTCTGTGAACTCCTGAAGAGCCCCATTCCAATGGGATTGACACTCATGTTTAGCTTCTTCCATTTTATATTTATATTTATTTTATAATAATTGCTCCAACTGTGGACCTTTTTTCACCAAGCTGCTTGGCAATTCCCAGCCTTGTGGAGGTGTAGAATTTTGTCTGTAGTGTCTTTGGACAACCCTTTAGTCTTGGGCATAGTAGTAGTTGGATTCTTGCTAATTGTATGGGTTGGGCAGGTGTCTTTGTGCAGGTAACGAGCTTAAAAAGGTGCATCTAATTTAGGATAATAAATGGAATGGAGATGGATAATTTGAACGCAGACTAACAGGTATTTGTGGGTCAAAATTATAGCTGATAAAAAGGTGTTCAAATAAGTATTTGCAGCTGTATCATACCAAATAATTGTTAAAAACCTATATGTGATTTTGGGATTTTTTTTAGATTATGTCTTTCACAGTGAACATGCACCTATGACGACAATTTCAGACCCCTCCATTATTTTTAAGTTGGTAAATAGTTGGCTGTTCAAATACTTATTTTCCTCACTGTATATATTTGTGAAGATGCAGTCAACTGGTATTTTTTTTTAAGAATTAAGTCTGAATGTTTCGCCTAAAAGATCTATATAGAGATGCGGATATAATGAACAGAACAGGATGGTTGCAGACTGAATAGGGTGGTTACAGGCAGTGGCAGTCCAGGTGGTGAATGAGAGCAAGGCAAGCACAGGAGGGTAGGGAGTGAACACGAGTACTGGAACTGCAGGCAAGAAAACTATCTGACAGAGATTGACTGTGAGAGGCAGGTATTAATAGGCAGGAAAACATTTGGGAGGAATTAGGGTGATTAGCAGAAAGACTGGTGTTTTTTCTCACTTTAAATAACAGAGTGGAGCAGAGCAGAGTGGGAAGCAGCAACCCCAAAAAAAAAACACCAAACCAGAGGTAAGCCGTATGACGCTATGTTAGTAATGTATAAACATAATAGTTTTTAATTTTAAGAATTAAATTACTGATACTGTTTTTGAAGACATTTTGATTTATTAAGATGCATAATTTCCCAGCTTTTAAATAGCTTAATTAAAATAATGGTTCCACAAATAAGAAAGGAGAACTACACTATGCAGCACCATCCTACCTATGGCATATTTCAGATGTCTGTCTTTTCTGCTTTTTTAGGTGTATTTGAGAACTCTGTCCTACTGCTCTCCAACATAGCTGTTTGTGATTTACCTGCAATGCTATTGTAAACGCAATACATTCGTTGTTTTTTTTCTCAAAGTGTGCTATTAAATGTCAAAAGTAAAATTTAAATGTTGTACTAAATATTGATAATACACTCATGATTAGCGGGGTGTTGGCCTTTGAAAGAATAACTCATCACTGATGCCCTTGTGTTACCTTGCTCTACAGTGGACAACTATTACATCAGCATTGGATCATTCATTTTCACAGTAAAATGGATTGAAGTTAACATTAAAATGTTTGGACTGCAAAGAACTGTTTTCCACAGTGAACGCTCAGAGTGTGGTATAGATTTTTTACCACTAATTACATTGCCCATTTATTTGGTTTTATTTTGTCTTTGTTTTGATGCATCATTGCTTTTTTTTAATACAAGCATCTAAGATGGCATTTTGTTAAACCTTTTACCTGTGTCCCATATGTAAGAGATTAAGCAGATTGTGAGAGAAAGGTGTGTCATTGTCCTCTAATCCTTAAACATGTCCTTGGGGAAGATTTAAAACCCATTATTAAAAATATTATAAATTATGTTATCAAAACAGAAACCATGCACATTAGAGGAATGTGAAAGTTTGACTGAAAAATAAAACACAGTTATACATGCATGAAAATATGTTATTTAGGTCTATGTTTTATAAGGGCAATTAAATAGAAAAAATGAAGGGAAAAAAACAATTAAAATTAAAAAATACTTTATTAATCCCAAAGGGAAATGAAATTACAATAAAACTGAAATATATACCCATAGCCTCACATGGGGTGGGTTTTCACCTTTTTTTATGAGCTTCTTTGTCCAAACAGGCGTTCTTCCCCTCTAAGTCACACTTAGTCCATCAAGTAGTAATGCTGAAACCTTTTTACATTATTTAAAAAAAGCATCACTCAAAGAGTCAAGGATAGCAAAATCTGAGTTGGAGCACCTAATATTCCCTCGATCGAAGTACCTGGGCAGTGCACTGTCAGCAGGATCTACGCTTTGACTAGATGACTGAGCTGTCCAGATGTTGAAACATGATGACAACAGGGCATGTGTTACCCCAGCCAAAGCAATCATCAATTATAAGAGAAGGTGAGAGGGAACCGAGATGACAGACAGAAGCACAACACTGCATGACACCTTTGGAACCCCGTTTTTTTTTTTTTTTTTAAACATCCTGCTCCTCTTCTTGTGAGAGTCTGTCAGCAACCAGTGGATGATTTTAAAGGGTAGTGCCACTTCATCTCATGTTCCTGTTTTATCAGAAAGATCTAAGTATAGGTACAAAGGGTGGCAGTGATTGCATGTCACCGGTTTTCCTTCTTGTTGTGTGCAGCTAGTCTTCTTCATCCACATAAGTTGAGGGAAACCAACCCACCTAAAAAAAAAGCAGAACAGAAAACTCCTAAGTAGCAGCTAGGAATATACAAAATCCCAGAAAAGTTTTAGTTTTTGTGTAAAAAAAAAAAACTTACAGTTTTTTATCCAAAACAAAGAAAACATTTTAAACATTTAAAAAAAAAATCTTTTTATGGACTAAACCTTAGATTGCTATTTGGAAAAACTAAATCAATAATTTTATCAATGCATCTTAGGCCATCTTACGAGTAAAAACAAACTTTTCATTAAGTAAATAGCATAAATCAATATATAACAGAAGAAATTAATAAATCAGAGTTTTCCGACCAGTCGTGATGTAAGTTGACAGACTGACAATGATAATCCACACCAGTTATTAAAATTTGTCCTGAGCAATCAGTTCACATTCATCCAGCTACATGCAAATTAACAAGCAATCATGTCACACAGCAACAAAATAAACAGGACGGTTGATGTCTCTGTAACATCACTGATAAATTCAATTTCTCTAACTATTATTTAGACTTGGGGAGACTCACAAGGAGGCAATAAGAGAGTGTATTGACATGAATTAATATAAATGTATTTTTGTGCTCATACACCGGCAGAAGACATAGAGCTGAGCACTGCTGATGATGATAGTATAGGCAGATTTATGAATGAAGATGACTCCCTGCCGGATCTGGATACTGGCAGGGGACCAGAAGGAGCGAGGGAGTTGAACTGAGTAAGAGTTAGACCAGGGCGGTGAAGGGTGCGGGGGTGGTTTGATATGTATATATTCCAGAAGAATCATGTTGAACTTTATTGTGTGATGTGAACCGAATCACTGAGCATCCACTGCTCTTGTTGGACTCTGTATATGTTGTTGTATGAACTGAAACCGGTATGTAGGTCTCAACTGCAGGGACCGTCTACAGAATACTAACAGTAGGTATAGTCCTCAAAAACTGACTGCAAAGATGATGTTTTGAAGTGTATTTTTTCATTTTAAAAAAATATTACTTTTTTTTCCTATTCATCACAGCAAATTAAGCAAAGTCACTCTCTCCACTGCATCTTCCACTGTACACAAAATACCAGCAACGCATGTCAGATGTGTTTTTGTTCACACTTTGCTCAATGCGTTTCCAGAACGTTTTTGATGCCCTCGACGCATGTCTGTCTTGATGCGGCATTAGACACCTTTTTAACGCTCAATGCAGTTTCCGTATAAATGCAGCTTTAGGTTCCACATTGTTTAACACCATTATTTATACTGTATTCAGAGCTATACTCCTGTCTTATTTCCCTAAGCATCCTATATTTTTTATGCTTTTTCGCACTTGATCTGGACCTTTCCTCTTTATTTCAACACCTTCTATTAAAAAATACTCTTGTTTGCTCATGGCACACATGCACAACACTATACCTCTGGTCATGTGGTCCTAATATGGTAAATACTAAAATTGCTTACATTTAATAAAGAATAGGCCAAAAGCAAAGTATGAAACAGAAGTAAAATGTGATATAACTAAAGGTCACTAAAATTTAATCAGGAAGCATTTATATGCAACCAGACTGAGCTAATAGCATGAAAACTTTTAAGTCATAGTAGCTAACTAGGCCATTGGGTTTTTTTTCTTATGGAGAAATGTATATTGAAATGTATATTTTCAGTCTAACCAGAGAGTATACCTGTCATGATCTCATGAGCGCTGATGGTTTGGTTTTTTACCTTTGCTCCTTGCTCCCCTGTCTAATTGGTTCTGCAGCTGATTAACGTCGGTAATGGACATTTACTGAGGTCTTGTCCTGCAAGGCGTATAACTAGGCTGGGACGTACCAGACTCTCTGCCTCCTCAGCTCTTCTGTTACCAAAGACTAATGTGGTTACTTCCAGAACCCCAGATCCTCCAGTAACCACGGCCCCAGCACCCCCGGAGCCTGATCCGGATGACTTTTCTCCCCTTTCTCCTGAGTGGGGTCTGGTGGATTTTTTTTTATGGGGATAGGGGAGTCCTTTTTCCCTTCTGTTCACCTCCACCCACCCGATTCAGAGAGGGTCTAGGAGGACAAGCAGGGGGCTCCAGTATTTGGTAGACTGGGAAGGTTAAGGACCCAAGGAGAGCTCCTGGATTACGGGAGCCGAATTCTGGGTCCAACATTCCGAGATCATTACAATACCGTTATTTTTTACTTTAATTTATGATAGCTGTGTTACAGTTTTTTTGTTTTGGACATATATTTTATTTTTATAAATAAGATGCATACATAAGATTTAGCGAAAATATACATTTCTCTAGTCTAATGGTGCAGGTAGCATACTGAAGATAAGGTTTTTTCACTCTATCTCATTCAAGAATCTGCTCATTCCTGTAAAAACTAAACACTTCACCCTAACTTTTACATAATACCTTTCACTCATAAGATTTATTAGAATGGCTAAAAAAAAATGAAATGAAAATAAAATATTAAATTCCTATCAGCTCTGATAAATAAAAAAAAGCAAAAGAAAAAAGAGCCACAAAACCAAAACTTTGATTTGAGAGCAACAAAAATTCTAACCTGGCCGTCGACCTCTCCCCTCCACCAACCATTGGACATCTTGGTGTAGATCCTAATAATGTCTCCCTGCTGTAGAGACAGCTCTCGGGTATCTCTAGAGCTGAAGTCGTAACGTGCCACTGCAATACCAACTACCCTAGGAGAAAAAACTGAGACGCAGAAAGGCCCAATTATTTTAACAGTAATTTATTTTTTTTAAATCCTGTTTTACTTTTACATAGAGTACAACCATAAAAGTTCAAATGTTTGTAGACTAAAAGCTAGAATCAGACACGCGTACTAATAATACTCACTGACTCAAGTCATCCTAGAAGTAGAGGGAAATTAAAAGTCAAACAAACAACAGTAAAGTTCAGGTTTGGTGGTTTGAGGGGAGAGCAACTTTACCAATCAAGTCTGACGAGGTCCACTGCATAGGGTAAGATCAGAGGTCGGGGTTATCGTGGCTAGGTGCTGAAGTTATTAAAAGTGAATCCTAAATCCAGTTCATGCAATGCATCCTCACTTATCAGGGTATACAATATTATTCCATACACATCCAGGTCAGGGCTCATATCACAAGTGAACCCAGGCGTAGAAAGGTTTGTCTGCCTTATCAGTAAAAATACAGATGACATAGCTGTGAAGATACACTGGATGAAAGGAGTGTATCTGCTCCCAAGTGCCCACAAAGGCACAACATACAACGCCAGGTGTTCTTGTAAACAAATATATATACATGTCACTATATGGTATTCATGCTCACCAAGTAACAAATAAAACTCACACTGTAATATATTCAGTATTACCAAGCACTTACATCATATCAGCAGTTTGAAAATGAAAAATATTTCCCTGCTGCTTCCACTATGGCTTTTTCTTCATTATTCCTGGATGGTTCCCAACATGATTTACATTCAAATCTAATTCTACCTGTTTTCATTGTGCCACATATCATCGATCAGTTAACATTAAAAGTGCATTTATGTCATTGAATTTCTTTTACCCATTTAATTCTAAAGACAACCATCAAGGGATAAGACTTTTTAATCTACCTGAAATCCAGAATGTCTAAATTCACATTTTAAGATGGTTACATTTATCTCGATTGTATTGTACTGATAATACAAACTATGAGTATGGCAGAAAAGGCTAACAAACAATGTGGATATTTGTGACCACCAAACAATTGGATCCAGATTATAAGCTGTAACTATAGAATTTCGTCTCAGAAGCCAGAACTGTATATGATAAGGATTTGACCTCTGTATGGTGGTTTAAAATCTTTTTTCCAGAGTATATTTCCAGAGAATATTTTATATTCAACTAGAAATCTATATTTTACACACAAAAGGAAGAGTAGAGAGGCAATAAGTTTAAAGTCTTTTCATGTTATCATTCGTTCAGGTGTGGATTAACGCAAGGACTGTTAAAGTTGTCTGCCGTATCATACCTTTATATGTGGAGGCTGTTGAAGATAACATCCCCAACACTGTAGGTTCTGCTATTTCAGTTGCTTGTGCATGTTTTTCAATAATACTTCATTCTTATACTGAATTTTTCATCCACATGTTTGCATAAATTACACTATAAAGATTCGGTCTTATGTACCAATGACATTTTTTGGTTTACCTCTTAAGGTAACAATTACTGTCTCTTGTTTCCCTGTTGTTTTGTTGGCCGTATCATTCTTCAAATAAATCACTATATTAGTGTTGTTATAGTTTAGGTTAACCTTTCTGAGAAGGTTAAGTTTAGAAATTTTGATTGCTACATGTCGTAATTAAAAATAAACGAAATCACTAAGTAGGTAATGAATTTGTACACTTTAAATTGAATTGCTAAAGTAAATAAATACACTTCTCGATTATGTTGTATTTCTTTCAGAAATATTTTACATTGATTTTACATTAATAATAAATAAATTCTAACAACTCTGCTTCAAACACTCAAAAATATGGGCATACAGCTAGAAAGAGAAAAAGGAGAGCAGAAAATCTGCACCTATACCTGACCAGAAAGGCGAGGAGGAGGGAGGAACAAAGCTGCAGCCGCCAGGAGGAACTACTGAGAAACAAAACAAGAAATGGAGGTGGAAGTGTGTGCGGGGGAGGGGGGGGACGCGGGAGGTGTCCGTAGTGGGAGCAAAGAGAGAAAACATAAGCAAAGTAAACACAAGTTTGACAGAAAGAGGATGTGTGAGATGGTGGAGAGAGGAGAGAGAACGCAGAAAAGTTGTCAAAGTCAGAACAAAAAAACAAACAAGGAAGAAGAAAATACTGCTGAAGTGCTGTAAGAGAAGTGGGCAAAACAGTGAAGCCATTGGACAAAATTGTTATTTTACACAGCACATGTAAATATTAAAGGAAACTATTGACTGATGATTTACTGGAGACTGCCCGGAAATTCTGTATAATCTATTGGGTTTAACAATCCTTTACGCTTATATCCAGAAAAGCCAACCTAATGACTGTGGTCCAGTAGTGAAGCAAGACAAGAATCTATAGCATCAGAGATATCAAAGGTTTTTTTGTGTAAATGACCCCCTAATACTGCTCTTTACAAATCACTTTTGTTTTCTCATCATATAGATCACAAGTCCAGTCGTATATATTCAATCCATGATCTTAAAATGGATAGTATGACACAAACACAAACCTATCTGGACAGCCCTCATCAAAGAAATGGCGAAAAAAGGCTCATGGATGGATGACTCTGGATGAATTGCAAAGATCCAAGCTCAGGTGGGAGAATCTGAGGCGAGTGTGAAAATGTGAGCTTTATGGAAGAGTGTAAGGAAGAAGATAAGTGGTGACAGATGGATGACAGACATAAATGTGGAATAAGGTGTTTGGATCAAATGAAGCTGAAATCTAGATTTTGCTGACAGATATTAACTTATCATTACACAGCAAATAATTTCCTTACTTCAGCATTAACACACACACCAGACATATATCTCTATTAGCTTTACTGCAAATTCTAAATCTCTGTATACTGGGCATGCATTTTTCTCTTTTCATTGCTATACAGCACCTTCTTTTCGGATTTAAATCTTTTTATTATATCTATTTTTCTTTTGCATGACATCTATCTTTCCACAGAGGCTGTTTACCTGAAGGAGAATACAGTGCCCACACTAGTTTGTCTACGGGGGTGGACGACTAAAGGCAATAATAATCCATCCCACAAAGTACAGAGGCAGCCGTGGCTCTGTCAAGGTTTCTTGAGAGAAGGTAGTGCTGTGAGTGGCAGCAGAATACAAAAGCACCTCTTACAGAGGCGCTTTGACGCTTCATGCGCTCCGAGACCGACTCTGCCAAAAGAGGCAAAGGGACGAGGATGCAGCAGAATATTACATCCAAACACACACAAAGGGCCAACGCTACCTTTGTTCCAACGCTCATCGCCTCGGCTCATGGTTGTTTACACATTCCTCTCTCCTTAAGTTAAGCTGGTTTACTTCCATCTACCTTCTGCTCTTTCAGATTTGATCATATTTGGAAACTTTTCCCAGTTTAGTGGAAGATGCCGAGGTCCCTCGGATGGACCGGGGGTTCACGCTCAGGTGTATGTCAGAAGGCCATTTCTTTATTATTGCAGTCAGCCCAAGTGAAATGTCATGTCCTGTCTGTAAGATTGTGAAGCCATCTCACAGCTAAGCAGAGTTCAGGGTGTGACGTTTTGGAGTAGCAAGCTCTTGGTGGTTGCCTGAGGCACTCAGCTCTAACTGGGACCTCCCTGCCAAGGCCAGTGAGCCGCAGAGGCTCCTTTTTATTTATGTAATAGATGTTTTAGACGCACTGCATTGTTTTTAGCTAATTCTCTGATTTACTAAATCTTTATACTCACAAATGTGTGTTTAAAGCAATAAAACATTTTTAACATGCATAAAAGAAATAGCAACAGATGTGGAAATTTTTTTTTTTTTTTTAAATTACAATTGTAGACAGATGATTTACTGTTTAATAGGGGTAGGAATAGGTATAGTAGGATAACAGAACACCACCAGACCCAACAATTATACACTATGCATGCTGCATGGAGTTAATTTCCTGAAATCATCTATGAAAAATCAACAAACAGGTGCCTTTTAAACAGGAGCGAAAGCAAATAATATTGATTACATTGTGTTGATCTCTAGAACTCTGACAAAACTTGGTAACGTTGCTAAAAGAACAGCATATTTAAATTTCAATATTGATGGGCGAGGTGAAACTAAATAAGTAGTTAAGAAAATAAAAGGCAGCTGTGTTGAAATGATCTCAATTAAATGTGAAAGAAAGGGTTAAAAAAACATTTGGGTGGATTGAGGAACAGCCAAAATGGCAAAAGATCAGTTCCAAGAGAATACAAAAAGGAACCATGAGTGAAAGTGGGCCAAGGACTCTCTGAGATGTACATAAAACAGGACTGTTTCATTCATAGACAAACCTGAAATGATAAATGTCTTTAATGTGGTTTTATAATAAAATACAATTTGAAAGATTTAAGGTTTAAAGTACTTTCATAGATTTGGATGTTGGGAGTGTACCCCAATAAAGCCCCCACTAGTGACAAGTGTTGTTCTTAATGTTAGAAATTCTGGGAAATTTATGACATTCAAAGGATGATAAATCTGTTTGAATACGTAACGCTTGAATAAGTAATAATGCCTTATGTAGGCAAAGAAGAATCCTTGAAATTATTTTTAAAAAAGGCAATCCCAATCAACCAGTAGAAGCATAGCCTCTTTATTTAGTGAAAAAGAGTGCTGTTCCCATGGCAAAACCAGAAAAATGAAGAGGGATTGTGGAATGTAGTCCAATCACCCTGTACTGAAATATCCGATCGTATGTGTTACAAGTAGGTCGACTTGATGTGCCACAACTGTGAAGGAGTTCTCAGAAACAACAGCTGAAAATACATGTTGTTTTAGTGATTCACAGATTAGTGCTACTTTTAACAGCACAATTAACCTCAGGTCTATCCACCTACATATGAAAAACAAATTACAAAAAAGTTTCAGTTTACTCAATTTTTTTAACCAGACTCCTAATATACAAGTGGACACTGCCATCACACTTTTTGTACTCAAAGCACTGTAAAAGATATAATAAATAAATAAAGAGAATCAAGGCAGTTTGTCAAATGAGACTAAAACTAGAATCTTCAGGAAAACACTTTGTTCTATGACATACTGACATGAAAAAAATACACCCCTGGCTGTGCCTGTTAAGCACATTTGGCAGGACAGCCTTCCAAAAAATTATTCATTGTTTCTCTTTAAATATAGTAAAGCCACATATGCTCATCTTGAATTCAGGTCAAAACAAAAGCTTTGCTGTGAATCTCTTTCATAACTGACTCTATATATGATCTAACACTGCTGTGTTTCCAACTGTCAGATTCAGATAGGAAACTTTCTGTCTGGATGTTTGTGAAGCCGACTCACCGTTGAAAACCTTGTTAATTGCTTTAGGCATGTTTCCATTGGTCAGTTCTCGGTAAGGAATCTGCAGAGTGGTGTCAAGACTGCTGAAACCTTCTTTCAGAGAGTGTTGTTTATAGTACTCCACCAATTCCTGTATGAGCATGAGTAAAAGAAGAAGAAATAAAATATTTTGGAGTGGTCTGAGTAATATTAATGGTAGTTTATACTTAGTTAGAAACATCCTGTTTATCTACCTTTTCAAATATATTTATGTTGACCAGTGATAATATAGTTTTTCAGTTTTATTTATGTAATTTGTTGATATTATAAGAATGAGGTGTTTGATAATGGCATGTTTTACCTGCTCTTTTCCAGCATAAATACAAAAAGGTAAAAACAGCTGGGAAAAGGAAACATGTCTGACTGTATAACCGATGTATACGCCTCAGTAGTTAACAGCAAAAGTGATGTTAAAACGGTTTTAGCTATCAATGCTACAGAGTTCTGAGAGGCCAAAAAAAAAAAAAACTACAAAGTAAGACCTTTACCAGCACGCTCTTGAATAGCCGACTCTCAGCGATGTAAAAACATCCATCCTTGGTCAAAATCTTAATGTGCTTGACTTTATCATTGAACCTGTGAAGGAAAAAATAACACAGAGGCTGATCAACTACACATTCTTTCACATCCATCTGGTTTCTAGGATGAACCATAAAGAGTGTCTGTCTAGGAAGATAGTTGGTTGTCATGCCATCAGGAATGTTTGCATAACTAACAAAAGAAAAAAGATGGATTTCTCCACTACAACAATACATTGTCACAGACCATTCAAGAGCAATTTAAGAAAAATAACTAAATTGGATGAATACATACATGTCTTACATTTTTTTAATTACAGCAGGTAGTTTTAATTACCAAAATTATTATTGCATTACTTGATATCTCAATACATCTATACCAACAAGCCATTGGGCTTTTACTGCAGCTTATGTTGTGAAAATCTGAAACACTATTTATTTTATTTTATTTTTTTTGTTGTTTTATGATTCTAAGCTTGAGATACAAATATAGATTTTAATAAAATGTTGCTGTTTCAGCCAAGGTGTCTACGATTATGTTATCAAATACCGGTATTAATCTTCAAGTGTTGGCTTACAACAACCCTTCTGAGGTTACCAGACCTTTGAAGATTATGGGAAATATGCAGAAGATAATCAAACGTTTAAATCAGCTGGCATTATTGTGGTAGGAGCTTTCAAACAGTTTCCATGAACTGTAAAGTAAAAACCTTCATCCAATTGAGTTTCAATTCAGTTTATTCATATAGCGCAAATTCACAACACATGCCATCTGTAAAGATAGGCTCTTTGTATGCATCTTGAAGCGGATCTTTTTCCTCAAAGGAGCACACTCAGGACAAACTCTTTAAATCTCTCTCTTTATTACTTATATGTAATAAAAAAGAGACATGGCAACAGATTCTGATAGAAATTGTAATCTTAGTCAGATCATAGAACTTGCTTAGAATATACAGAAGGTAGCTCCTCACCTCCGGGCTCACCTCTCAGGAAGTGGCCCAGATTAACAGTTAAAAAGGCATTTTATACATCTCCAGTCTGCCACTTCATCTTATTTTTACATCATACACGTTAGCAGATGATTAGACATCCATGGCTCCAGCCTTATCGAAATATTACACTTTGTTCTTAGCTGAAGGACGCCGCTCCCATTCCATTTCCAAATATTTGCCACATACAGAATGAAGATTTTAACCGTATATCCAGACAGAGGAACTGCCCTAATTAGATTAAAACACGCAACAGGCAGCAAATACCAAGGTGTAATAAACTCACACATCTTCAATGATAATTATTAATATTAATATTTAACACATCTCAAGGCACTTTACTGAGACAATTCAACTAGATTATAAAGTCAAATTAATTCAGTTTTCGATCTAAGGAAAACCAGTTGATTGCATCAACCCATTGACTTGAAGGCAATCCCTCATACCAAGCATGCTTATAGTGACAGTGAGGAGAAAAAAACTCCCTTTTAACAGGAAGAATTCCTCCAGCAGAACCAGACTTTTCCTGACCTGTTTCGTAACCCCTAAACATACAAATGTTAACATACAATCCCAAAGCAACTAACAATAATTTTTGTCATGGGTCACATGTGTGTCACTTGATACAATGTCCGCAACTTGTAATTTGGCCTGTTTGTCAATATATATACCGAGAGAGAGGTATCTCCATCGCGTGACGGGGACTTGACAAAGCGTCAGTATTTGATGAGTTGGAAGTGATTCTGTATTGGTCTTGGAGACATCACATATCTTTCAGTTATTATGGAAGCCACTGTGCTCAATAGGACCTTTTATTTCCATTTAATTCCACAGATATCTGCTTCAAGAAAATCCTGTCCCTGAGGTCAAAAGAAAATTCCATTAAATTCATGTTTGGTGTTTTGATTATGACATTAATTCCAAAGGTCAGACCTTATAAAGATTGATTTGTGTATTCCACTATTTCCAATTAAATGAATTTACCACAGGTGGACTCATTCTAAACTTTAGAATCATCTTAAGGATGATCAGTGAAAACAGTGTGCACCTCGGATCACTTCTGATCTGCAGGCTAGGTTTTGAATACTCATATGAGAGATTCTTTGTTTTGTTTTCTCAAAAAACTTTCTTACATTGTTATTTCATGTGTAACTTTGAAGAGAGGGAATCATTTAATACAATATGTGACTAGAAAGCACTCAGAGAGCACAGACCGGCTTCAAATCATTTCCCTTCCTGATAATGTTAAATATCATAAATCCAGATAATTATTGGGAACACCACTAAATGTACAGGGTTCTAAGTTGGGCTAAAATATACTTGCAAAGAAAATTCTGAGCAAGCTGTTTCTGGTTTCTTGTTAAGGAACCAAACAGACTTTTAAAGTCTGTTTTCTGAAAGACAACCTCTCTTAAAAATCCAAGGCTGCAACCCATACAAAAATAGAAGTAAACACAGAGATATGGTTATAGGCTGATCACTTGTAGTGGGGTTTGACATTAAACAGTTGTAGCTAGGCACTAAGAGCTCACTGTGTAAAGCTCCATTATCTCAAACTGCCATCCTGATAATGATCTTAAGCACTGAGATGAGCAATTAGGATTGGACTGTTCAGAAACTGGCCCACTAGATCAAAGCAGGGAATAAGTAACTGCAACAGTCGACCAAACATAAATGGGCTGGAATTATGTGTCACTGGCTAAATAGTCTTAAAATCCAAACGTTGTGTCAGAGTGCTCTCTGCATCATTATAATCTGCAATTGTCAAGCCAGGTCAGAAAGACTTGATGAGCCTTTATTTCTTTTAAAAGACTGAGCATGCTTTGATGTTGCTTGAAAGATGTTCACTGGTTAAACAGACAAAGTTGTATTTCAAAAGAGAGACAAGAAGGCACTTTGCTTGTAGATAAAGCTGCTTTTTATTGGGACTTTGTGCGACTGTATGTGGGATCTACAATTCAAAGGTGCTGTTAACCCTTTTTTGAAATGGAATTCTAAGGGTTTTAGCAAAAGAGCAATAAGTGGTGCCATCAAATGCTATCAAGTATTTCTTAGATCTAGGAGTCATAGCTGGGTAATGAAACAGATAATCCATTTCCAGTTTTTCTCCATATTACCCTGATTTATATGAAATAAGTAAAGGCTGATAAAGATTAGAATAAAATAGTGTTATTTTTACATAAAAAGCAGTGCCTCACTAAAGCATAGCCACATTACAAATGCAAATTGCAGTCTATGCTTTTGTAATTTTAAGTTATAAACAAGGTAATAACTATAAAATGAAAGGCAGACGGTCCATTGCTTTATCATTTTTATGTGAAAAGGCCTGGTTGGGATATTGTTTAAAGCTTGCTGTAGAGCTACATGCACCTTGCCATCAACTCCAATTTAACCCTGTTGTTGAAACGACTCCTCTCAGATTAAAACATAAAACTACCACTTCTACACTGTTGCAAAGGTGGAACTTAAATAAAGCTCTGCTCATCTTTGTCATGAGCAATTATTCTTATTTAATTATGAATAGTTTTGATAACTATAATTGGAAATTATAATGAATAATCTAAGTTTCTGATCAGAGTCACACCACAAAATATATATGCAACTGTGATTTAACAGCAAATGGGGATATTTAAACCAGATGTGAACCTGGACTTAAATTAACCTAGTGAGTCCATGAGGAGCTGCTTTTATTTAAACAGCACTCTCACATGGACAGGGTGGCTGTCTTTGTTTAAGGAGTTTTCACTGGCTGGGTGGTTTGTTTGTTTGTTGATATGTGGATACTTAGAACACATTTGTATGAGTGTGACACTCTGTAAACCTCTAAAGGTGCATTCAGTCTGAGCACGGTGTATACGTTGATTTCCATGACCCCTGCATGGAGTTCACCACTCTGCATTTCAGACGCAGTATGTTTACACCCCGGCCCACATCATCAAACAGGAGGAGCTTCAGCTCCACGAAGCTGTTACCTCACAGACTTGAAAAAACTCTTAAGATAGACTTATTGTTTAGTGTAGGTTTTAATGGTTAAAATGATCCATCCATTTTCTTACACACTTGTCCCAAGTGGGTTCGAGAGGGGTGCTGGTGCCTATCTCCAGCATTCAATGGGCAAGAGGCAGGCTACATCCTGGACAGGTCGCCAGTCCATCGCAGGGCAAAACAGAGACACACAGGACAAACAACCAATCATGCACTCACACCTAAGCCAATCAACCTAACAGTCATGTTTTTGGACTGTGGGAGGAAGCCAGAGTACCTGGAGAGAACCCACACATGCTCAGGGAGAGAACATGCAATCTCCATGCAGAAAGACCCCAGGCTGGGAATCAAACCCAGAACCTTCTTGCTGCAAGGCAGCAGTGCTACCCACTGCACCACTGAGCAGCCCCAGTAAAAAAAAAAAAAGTTAAGATGATAGCTTAGGTATATTAAATATTATTAAGCTCCAAAATGAATAACATTTATCTACTTTTTCAGTGCTACTTGATATTTTGCAGGTAAAATGTCGTTTGTGCTCTTATGGTTTTTAAGATAGAATAATTTTTAATTGGAGCCGACGAAGTAGCCATCCCAGCAGACATTAGTGTTCCGCTCGTTTCCTGATATAAAGTTATTGCATAATATGATATGGAATTCCTGGGCTTGGCATTGAATATTGCAGTAGGCCTGTTTACCTTAGTTAGTTGCTGTAATGATAGCTTCACGTATTCAGTACCTTATCAGACTCTTAGATCACCCGACCAAGCACATAGCATTTTCTGTAAAGATCATGCTGTTGCCACTTCACAATAAAAGCATAGGTGAAACATAACATTACAGACTGCTGCTTAATTGTTCTTAGTATATTGAATCGACTTGGGGATCAATTTTTGGAAAAATTGAAGAAACACTGAAAAAGTGGATCACTTTGGTTCACCCAGAGCTGCATCTGAACGTTGGTTGCATTCGGAGGTACTTCCTTGTAAATCTACCAATGCAGAAAGCACCAATGCTGGGCATTGACAGACCGGGGGTCTGTGCTGGAGTTAAAGGAGGAGGACAAGCAGGCCTTCTAGGGCTAAATAAAAAAAAAAAATATAAAGCCACCTAAAAACCGCTTCAGAGCATTCCTTATTTTTACCTTTGTTAACATAATTTATTTCTGTATTCAATTTTAATTGACTCATGTTTACCTTTTTCCACATTAGCTTAAAAGAAAACTGGAAAAAAAAAACATTTAAATTTTCTAACTGGCTAATGTTATTCTCCCCTTCCCTCTAGCTGAGCTGGGTTGTAACATTTAAGTGGGGGCTCGTCCGGTATAATTTCAAGCAATCCTGTGACCAAAATTTAAGAAGGGAGTAACAGTTTATCAGCATTTAAATCACACAAAAGAACATCCAACAGAAAAAAATTAAGCAAATATCTTCTTTAAAACCTTTTTCTACATAAACCTGCCAAGGTATGAGTTAAGAGTAGCAAAAACAATAAATGTTTTACTTGTAGAAGCTTCCCACTAGAAGGCGCAGAGGATGGGGGAGAAGGATTCTGGGCTGGCCACTGTGGTTCTCCATGGCTCAGCCAAGTTTCAGCTTGAAAAGATAAAGTGCAGGCTCCTATGATCTACAGCTTTAGGCAGCAACAGAGGAAGCAAGATGGGTCCAGTCAGTGTGCTTGGTCAAAGCAATTGGGTAGACCACAGTTCAGTTGATTTTCAGAAAGAATGTAGGAATTTTCTTGTCTGCAACTATCCCAAGATCTTCCCTGTTAATCCAACAACAGATGTTTGTGTAGCCTCCAAGCCAACAGAGGGCTTCTAAGAAAAAAGATAGGGGAATAATACAGCAGTGGCTTGCTTCGCAAACCACAGGACCACATGCCTCGCTGTATGTTTTGAAACGATGCCCAGCTGAGGTGGACAAGATGCCCCTCAATGCAGCAGTAGACTGCAAAAGAGACCACCATTGGGTTTGATCACCTCTGGTGTTACAATGGAGCTGAAGGTCATGTCAGGGGCAGTAGTTACATTATGTTCATGATGAATGCTGAAAGGAAAGCATCCTTACAGTTTAATGCCAATACTCCATTTTTTGTTGTTGAGATGTATGTGCACAGGGATGTGTAAAGTTAGCAATTGTCAATGGGTAATTCACAGTGAAAAAAAGTTTGCTACTCATATGAAAAATCCAAATTAAGGGTTTAGAACTAATCTGAAACTTGTTTATGAAAGATGTAACGTTTAAAGGACAAAGGTAACCATGGAATTAAAAAAAATCTAATCATCATCTAGTCATCAGAAATATTGTATGTGGAATGATGCATCAACCACACCAAACACTGGTTAAAAACTAATTGAAGAGACAACATGATTTATGTCCAAACAATGTCTACATTTGGTTGAAAAGTGAAAGGTGAAAAGCCATAATTTTCAGATTAGAATATAACAGACAGACCACATTTAGCTTACAAACATTTTTTTAAGGATGTCTGGTGTTTTAGGGGATGGCACTTTCAGAAGGGTGTGCTCTCCTGCTATAGAGCACCATCTGGGAATAAATAAATGTTCTTATAAAAAGAAAATAAAAATCAATACAGCAATTATGCAGGATGTAAATGTTATCAAAACATCTCCATACATTCCAGGATGAGAGATGTTTTTCTAGGTGATCATCAGAGAGTGCACTGTAGTGTTTCTGCCAGCTTGTCATATTCCTGTATTGCATTGCTTTTGTTTTACACAATGATATAAAACAAAGGTGACTCATCAGATCAGACTTTTTTTTGCCTCATCCAGTTCTGACACTCGCTTGTCCATCACAGACAGTTTCAGTTGTGGAATAATCTCAGTACTGGAGGCCTTACGTGTCTGCAGTCGTACAGTCTAATAATCAGCAAGCAGCAGCACATTGTGTCATCTGCCAACTTTCTACGAGGGAAGGCATAAAGGATTTCAGCAATTTAATAGCTGTATAATGGAATCTACAGAGTCACACCACCTTTGCTGCCTACACATCAATGAACACTGGGCAACAGTAGGAATCCTATTGCCTGTTCTTTTTCTGGAAGGGTCTCATTTTGTAGGTAGAACAGTCATAAGACCTGCTGTTCTGTGAAAGCCTTTTTTAAACCATAACAAAGTGTGCTTTGTTAGCTTTGTTCCTTTATTCATTTTAGCTGCTTCTAAATGCATAAGGGTGGACTGACCTAAAGTGGCAGTCTAACAAGCCACACTGGTAACCTTTGGTTTTGGAGTGCATTCAATGAACTCTGTACCCGCTAGACCATTAATGTACAACATTATTTAATAAAAGAATATAAAAAAAAAAAAGAAAAAAACAGAAAAAGATGTGGGTTAAGTTCATGTGGAAGTTAATTATAATATACTTTGTTTGCAAAGTATTTTGTTTGTTCGGTTCTAAGAATTTTTCAAGTAACATTTTATAAAGATTCCATATTTCATCATCATCTGTCTTTTTTTTTTGTAGCAGTGTTTTTTTTTTTTTTTAATCTTGTACAGACAAACAATGTTAAACATCCCAGGAATAGAATACGTTGTGTGATATGGGGTGGGCTTTTTGTGGTTATTTCAAGATAAATTTTGCATGTAACACAAACAAACCCAGGCAACCAGAGGAGACTGTTACTGTATGTTCAGCGGCATAGGACCAAATCTGGCCAAATGCTTGCATCCATAAGAGGAGCACAGTCATTAAACACACTGCCAGCTCATGTTCTAAAATCACACTGAAACATCGGTTGAAATCTAACCACACACGTGTTCACCAATTGGGATGTTCAACCGATTGGTCCCCAGGTGCCGCACAGTGGCAGCCCACTGCTCCCCAAGGGGATGGGTTAAATGCAGAAAGGTTATTTCTCCATGGTGAGATCAATACAGTTGAGTTTATTTATTTATTAGATTTTTTACCATAATGCCAGAACCACAGTTATTGCATTTGCACCATGCTGTGTCTTTACAATACGAAGAATTTCCATGTAAAGCTGTTATGCTATTTATTTTGTTTATCTTGTTCATATTCAATTTTGGAACACGGTATTAAAAATGTACTACAGTTGATACCAATGCTATTTATGACCATTGCATCATACATATAATGTTCAATTTCTCTCCTTATTTATATCTCTTTTTGTTGACTGCACATGAACAATAAAGTACTAGGGTGCCTCCAGCTTTACCACTGGTATTGCTCCATATTGTTAAATTTAAAACAGTCTCTCTAAACTACTAGTTTTAACTAATTTGCTTAATAATAAAACTTTCATAACCAATTTGTTGCATGGTTCAATTGAGCTTACTTTGTAAAGTGACTGGAGATGACATATGTTGTGAATTGGTGCTACATAAATCAAATGAGCTGAATGCTATTTAATTGAATCTTTCTTTGAAGGATAAGACTAAATCAATATTTTCATAACAAGAGGATGTAAGTGGGGGTCTTTCTGAATAGAGAGCTGCATACTGCACCTGGCATCCTGTGCAGGGTTGCCATGGGGCTCTTAACTCTCATCTCTGCATTCAGCAAGAAGGAATAATTTGTACAAATGACCAGCTTATATTATTTTTTCTATTTAATGCAATTTATATAATCAATACTGTTTGTCATCTTTGTAAATAGATGGCGTGTAGTTTATTGATGTTATGTTAATAAACTGATCTAATTTTTGTTAAATGCTTTAACAATAGATGTAATTTTGATTTTGAGTTTTATCATTCTAAATCATATTCACCCCTATGATAACATTTCCCCTCTCAATTATTATTTACATTTATTTTTTATGTGTTCATTATTTTAATCCATCTAATTCATCTTGTAAGTACCTCTATTCCAGTATGCTTTCGTTCAGCTTTTTGGTTTGATGGTAGTAAGTAGTATAGAAGACTTAGGAATGCATAGAAACTCACTTTATACTAATGGCATATTCGTTGCACTCTTTGCTCCGGTGTCGAACGAGATAAGTGCTATTCTCTCTGTCCATAAGCTCCACCTCAGCCTGGTATCTCTCCATCAGCCCTGCAAACCTGAACAATCAATGAACAACTACTTCATTTATACCATGATTCTTCACATAACAATAAGAACAGAGAATAACAATCAATATCAAAATTCAAAATGAATTATGCTTAGCATGCAAAATCTTTGTTTTCTTACCAAAGCTGGGAAGAATAATCGACAGGTTTTGGAACCTGGCAGAGAGAAGAGTTGTGGTTATTTTGTGTTTTAAAACAATCAATACAGAGAGTCAACGCATTAGTGGAAATGTGATATTCAAGGCACAACTGATGGCTAAAATAAGCCTTCTGCGGTTAAAAAAAAGGCAATTCTAAGTATTACATGTCATTGCTAAGACATCAATAGTGGCCATTATCTGCTGAATGCATTGTAATAACAAAAGATTTTGTGTTATTGATTTGGATAAATACAAACACTTACACATGGGCAAGGCCTCACAGCATCACTTGGGAAGAAGCCAGTTTTGCTTGTCGCCAGAATTTTGCCCTGCAATGGCAGCAGCTTGTTAATCGCATTATACTTGCCTGGGTTCAGAAGAACTTTCTGTTTTTTTTCTCTTCTTTCCAACAACAACTAATCCCCCCCCCCAAACACACACACACACTCTCGCTTCGGTAAATCCTCAGCAATTAGCACACAACAAGCAGTGCATCTAATTTGCAGCCTGAGTTAATTACGGTTCAAACTCTGCCGGCAGTTAGATTTGTACTGCATCAAAACAGAAGCCTCGTTTAACACTAAATAATGGATCTTATTCAGGTCTTTTAATACCCAAACAGTGTGAGCACAGAATAACAGATGCTTGTTTCTTTTTTTTCCTTTTTTTTAAGAAAACCCTCCCGATGCAACCACTATTTTAGAAGCATTTACATTTGGAATACATGCTCATTTATAGTTATTTAAGAAAAATATAATAAAAAGTAATGTATGCATTTCACAAACCCAACAGCTAAAACTAGCCTCTGAATTTCAATGCAGATACAGTCTCCCTACAAGGGTTACAACATAACAAATCTCTGTTAAAGTGTTTCTCTTCACCTTTAATGTCACCTTTAACCTCTACAAGTCAGTTTACGAAATAGAAAGCTTTAGGAAATTTCATACACACCCTCTGATGTGGCTCGGTTCAAAATTAACCATGTGATTTAAAATTATTTTAAATAAGAGTCAGAATACACCAGCCATCACAGCATAATGCTCCACAGAGAACTACTGCTGCATATAACATAATCATTTCCAAGGGAATATGCACAATATATAATGCAGCCAGGACATTCGTAATAAAATGTGATAAAATGGTACAAAATTAAAATTACCAAGAAAGACCATACAATGAAAAGGCAAGACGAAAACTGGTTAGGAAGCCTTCCAATGGGCCTACAGCAACAAAGGACTTCCAGGAATCTCCAATAAGTGCTGGCTTTGTCACGTACTGTACTGCAGGTGAAACCAACCTCCCTAGTTCTTAATATGTCTGCGCTTTAAGGTAGGGTGGCAATAGAGCACCCTTCCACAGAGAGATATCCAAACATGTTTTAGTCCTTTCAAAAGCATTTTAAAAATGTGGTCGCGTCTGAAAGCGAGCAGAAATTTTGAGTTCATAATTACAACAGCTGAGGTCAAATAAAACACCACAACAAAAGAACAGTGTACTTAAAAATACATTATATACATTTTTACTGAAAATATCTTCAAAATAGCCTTTTTATTTGACCATTTACGATAAAACATTGTTTGACGAGCAGGCTGACACCTCAGTAGTTCAGCATCAATGCATCTTTAAGCCTGTAGCCTATTCTCCTTTCTCCTTATTTACTTTGTGTCGGAAATTCCCACTCTGTTTGACAGATGTCACGTCAAGCGCATCCATGTCACATGGCTCTGACCTAGCAAACAATCTTAAGCGTTATAGTCTAGATGGATTTTGTGGATACTCGGAAATGAGCGTCATCTAACTTTACTCAAACACCAATGGCAACTCCAGGTAAGCTGAAAAAGGTAAAAAAGAAAAAACTTGTTAAGTATGAGTGCGAGCTACGAGAACAAGCTGGAGAGTGCCTAAGAATCTGATGGAATTTAAGTAGTTTCGAATGATAAAGCTGGAAAATATGCTCAAGTTCAGATGTGCCACGCCAAAACAAAACGAAACTGTGTTTCAAACAAGTATTTTTAAACCCCCATATTTATAACAAAACTAAGAGTTTAGGTTGTTTTTAATTCAAAGATAATTAGGTCACTAAAAAGGCAAAAAAAATCCATAAAAAAACAAATAAATTCTAGGGTTCATTTTTCTTTGTCAAATTATTATCTCGCCAAAATCTACAATTTCTATGTAGACATTTTGAACATAAGTGAGTTTTAACACAGCTTTAATTCACTGTCATGTAACTAATGTTTTAGACATCAGCAGGAACACATGTTAACATGGACCTGATAATCTGGGTTAACAGGTTTAAATCTGAGGTCAATTTAAAGTCCATTGAGTGAGCCTGAGAAAACAAGAAGTGGTGCAGACATGTTAAGCTTCCTGCCCGTTTCGTGCTTCACTCCTCACTACTCTTTATTAGGATATAAAGTGCTTTTTGGAGCCACGCAAGCCCTAGCAGTAACTGAATTGGAAAGCAAATCTTTACCCATCTCTATGATTCATTTTGTGTAATAACATTTCATCAAAGGTTTTTAAGAGAGCCCTTCTCTATTTGTTATGCTTTCGATAAGCGTATGATACAGATTAAACTTATTACTCTGCTGGCATAAACAGGCAGCAGCTAGAGGATCAAATGAAATTACTGTGATTGATTGTATTGTTATGCCAGGGGGATGGGAGATAATTGCCTTCTGGGTAAGAGGGGATATGAATTCTCAGTGTTCTGTAATTCCATCCTCTGGCACCACTGGGGACGTTGAAGATTAAAGGCACCCTGTGGAGTTTTCATTGTAAACAAACAAGGTTCTGTTCAGATTCAGTTTCTCCCAAAATCGTATTGTGTTCAACTATAGAACCTCTCAAAAATAGTTTGTATGAAGCTGATAATCTTTTGTTTCACTAGTCTTTGTAATATTTTTTGTTCATAACCAGTACTGGCTCTTGAGAATCATCACCCAGGGGAAGAAATAATACAGCTGTTAGACTTTGTTTTTTAAAATACCTTTGTAAGGGAAATTTCTTTTTAAAAATAAGTGATGTGAGATATATTTAAAAGCAAATAAAAAATAAGGTGTCAGGTATTTGCTACAGTGGGCCTCATTTTATTTTAAAGTGGTGTAACAACGCAGGAAAATGTAAATGGGAGGGACCAAAATCTGGTTAAAATTATTCTGGTAGCTGCAAAAAAAATAAAAAATAACTACATCCATACATCCAACTACATTTAGACTGAAAGACTACCTTATGGATAAATAATGGATAATGATGATGTAGCAATATTGCATACATCATCAGCCACAGCAGGTGAGTTTATCTTTTTCTTGATTGTTACATGCCTATGAGTTTTTTTGTCGCCATATGCAATCCATCTGATGCACTTTCACAATAATTACAACAACATTGTTTTAAATACAACTTTTATCCAGAAAAATCTGCAGCTAACACAGGCTGGCTAAATCAATATCTCGAAAGCTTCATTTTGATCGTTCAAGTAAGGTCTGTGCAAAAAATGCAGCCGTAAATTGGACACCAATGTTCAGAGGCCTATCTTCAAGTGAATTTAAAATTGTGTCGAGGACCTAGGGCCATTGGTTGTGTTCTGATTTATTTGGATATCTCTCTGGGTATTTCATTTTTAGATCTTTTTAGTTTAAATTCTTAGCATTTGTGTATTTTGTATATGTATGAATGTATTCAGATACATGCATATACAAAACTAAGATATATGTTTTTATATCTTAGTTACTATTATATTTGGAAACCAATTGCATTAGTTTGGTGTTTTTACTTTTTTTTCTTTAGCTGTTATCTTAATTCATTTTTGTCTTGGATTGAGTTCTGTTCACAGTGTAACCTTGTTTCTGTGTTTTAGCTTCCCTGGTTCTGTTCATTTATCTTCATATCCTTAAATATCTGCTCCCTCACCTACTTGGTTCATAATATGCCACATTTTCTGCAGATAAAATGTGATAAAGGAGTATGAATACCTTTAGGAGTCAGTGTAATTCTACTTGAGGACTACTGCACCACATGGTGGTATCCTGCCTAGAAAAACAAGGCTCTACCAATGCTAACTTATCTTTTACCTGTTTCCAGTATTATCATGAAGCAGGCATGAATAAAACATATTTTACCATATTATAATTTTTATGTGTTCCTACATAATGCAGGGTTGCCATGGTAGCATACAATGCAGTTCTCAGGCATGGCATTTCTGGTTGCTATCAAGCCAGTTTACAACACGTCTCCTGGCATTCATATCATTGTCCTCTGATTTGTGCAGAGAAACACGGAAAGAATCTTGGGATATCAGAAATCCAAATGGTCACTCCTAGCAGGGCTGCTAGCAAAGGCTGCACTCTGATTGGAGCAGGAAGGAGAATGACGCTTTGAAGCCACCATAAAACAGAGTTGGAAGCAGTGAGGTGGGCTGCCAGCAGACCTCTGATAACACAATCCTTTCAAAAACAGATAAGGTCAAAGTCCCCGAACTGCTGGGCTGATGTCGTGAGGTTTGCTGAATGCGTCAGAAAACAGGGCGGATAATAAGCAGTAAAACAACCAATGGTGAGGTTAAAGGTTTGGAGCTTTATTGTTTCAATGTGGCATCTTGTTAATCAACTGAATTCACTAATTGGTGAGATCATCTCATGTTGGCTCTGATTCAATCTGAACAGTGACAGAGAGGAGAGATGTGCCTTTTTTAATGTGGCCGGGGTCCAGCCGAGTGAATATAAATCTCTGATATTTCTGATTGTTTCTGACCTCTTTAGGGAGGACTCAGAGTATATGAACAACCACAAAAAGCTTCTAAAAAGATAAATTATTAATGTCGGAACAGCAATATTTTGTTAATACTACCAGTTCTGCTGGTCTCAAAATGCAGCATTGATTTAAGCCAGTGATGTCGAAAAGATATTGCGTGTGTCTTACCAGTCTACTGAGTCTGAACATATTACTTTTTCATAAAGTCACAGATGCAGACATAAAACAGGAATGAGTTGTGTGTGACACACACCTGCCACCAGGAGCTGTGCAGGTCAGCAAACATCAACTCAATTACATCCCCCGCCTGAATGCTTAGAGCAGGACCACACAGGGGACTGGGGACACCGCTGTAGTCCCTGATCACAATCATCCTTGGTAAACCTGGCAGCAAGACAGGGAACACAGTCAAATTAAACATTCTCTGCTTTCAGCTTAGAAAATTAGAGAAAGATAAGCAGAGGAATACTACTGCATGGATTTAATTCTGTATTTTAGTAGGAAATCTTAACAATCCAGTTAAATTATTTGTGGTTAGTCTTTAATATTATAAAAGAAAACAGATACAAGATAAGGGAACATTTAAAGAATGCAGTAAAATATAATAATGTAGCCGTTCAGAGATCCTTTAAATCCTGAAACAATTATTACAAAAAAGACTGATTGATGTCAGTGATGTTGATCCTAAAATGTTGTTAGATAGGGGTAATTACGTGTTTATTTATTCAGCTCTTTTTGCCTACTTCTGCCTACTTTTAGCCTACTAGTACTTGATTTTTTAATTCTGGAAATCATTAAGTAATCCTTTTAGACTTTTTCTTTTAATAAACAAAACCATCATTTTAAAACTGGCTTTTGATCGCAGTCAGATAATCTCTGATGTTACAATTTTTTAAATACTCAAATACTGAAGAAATCTGTGATGAAGCACATTTCATTGCTGTTACTTTTTCCTGCAAAAGTCAGTATGAAGCAACACTGCATAGGCATATGTCCCAAAGGTTATGATGAGCATATCTAACACTGATGAAGTGCTTATAGTTATTATACTTAAATCAAATAGGAATTTTAAATATATTCATAACAACAAAGTATTTGTTTTACTTTTAGGAATATTTAGACTGATATTATGCAGTTAAGAATTTGCTAATGCCTGTAGACTTGTATCTTTATCAGGATCTAGAGCAGGAAATGCCTAAAAGCTAAATTCTTCATTACATTACTAGAGAACTATATTTATAAAACTAAAAATGTGCCACTGATAAACACACCCAGGCTATACAGTACACCAAATGTTAATAAAACAATCATTGAGTGTTATTTTCTGTTCATTTTTCACAAACATATCAAATGACCTAATTAGTTATTAATTGAGTGGTTTCCTTCCTAACTCTTCCATGTCTTTTAAGATCTAAGGCATTTAAACGGTCCCACCCTTAAAGCACCAATTCACCATCATGGGAAATCTATCTCTTTGATTCCTTAAAATTGCTGCAACAATCTTTCCCCTTCACTGCAGAGCAACACAGCCACGAGCACAAGGCTGAGGCAAAGACTAAACACCCCTGCCAACTTAGGAGACACAGCCACTTACTCTCCGCTGACTCACACCTAGCCCGCCTCAGACAGATCACCCTTCTAGTTCCCACTCCCCTGCAAACCAGCCTAAGGAAACTATTAGCTGGCTGTGACCTCAGATGAATGGAATAGCTCACATTCATGTTTTTAATAAGAACAATAAGCTTGGCTGTCTTCCTCATAAACGCCTTTATGGAAATTGATTTATAACAAAGGCTTGCTCGGCTCAGCAGCCCAGGCTGAGGTACCACGGATCGCTCGGGGAGCCATTCTGCATTTCTTTTTCAGTATTTCTCCTGCGTGCTTTCATAATCATTCCACCCACTCCAATTCATCTCAATGCGATCAAGGGCTTAGGCACCATGGCGAGCTGAAGGAAAGAGGCTTTCTTTCCCGCTCTGGTTAACGATCCCTTGCTCATACTTTTATCCGGTCATTAAAATTTGTTAAATGTCTCACTCAATTGGACATTCTGCTCTAGAGGAGAAATGAGTTATGGCTTTGTATTTCTAAAAAAAAAACATTCTGACTGTGTCTCATGACTGCACACATTTTGACTGAAGATATATCAGCTATCATTTCCATCTGTCTATGAAGGCTTTGCTACACAGCTGTGCAAAGAAATTAGTAAAAAAAAGTATGTGAAGCCCTAGGCACGTTAACAAGCTTGCTTTGGTGGTCAAATCATACCGACCTGAGTCTGCTGCTGCTGTGGTCTCCTGTAAATTGCAAAAAAAGGGGGGAAAGCAGAGAGGGAGACAAAAAGCTTAGAATTAGAGTGAAATGAAGAATGAGTCATGCAATCATGTTGATAAGTCACGCAGCTGAAATGATTAAACAGTTAAAGGCAATAAAGTGAAATGTTTTATCCGTTTGTTGGAGGTGAGTGTTGGTCTAGGGGTTAGAGCAGTGTGCTTGTGCTCTGAGAAGGTTGCAAGTACCCGGTTCGATTCCCACAGGCTGCACTCTGGGTTCCTGAGCAAAACCCTTAACCCAGGCGCCACACAATGGCAGCCCCCTAGGGGGGCATTTAACCCATCCCCCAAGGGATGGGTTAAATGCAGAGAGTTAATTTCCCTATTATGGGACAATAAAGGGATTTAAAAATTTTTATTGGGAAAAACACTTAGAGCTGTTCTCTACCTTTTTTCTCCTATTGCTTAATGAACTGTTAGGTAGGTTATTTCACTGCATTTTCTTAACTTAAAGAGTTTTAGCAAGAAAGTAATTCCGATGGTGTCTGAAAACAGCTCTTAGGGAACTTTTATTTCAGTGAGGAGGTGTGCTTGTACCTGATGCTTGGTGTGACGCTGCCCTCATTTGGATAAACGAACTATTATGTTTGCTCTCAATGCAGGTCAATTTAATTCTTCCTCTATCTGATATCAATGTAAACACACACCTGTCTGTATTTTACAATGATAGCCTTCTTGTATAAAGCTGTTTGATGTATATAAAATTCTTAACTCACAAGCCCAATAACTTATGCTGATGACCTGGTCAGAATATTTGCTGCCAATATCTGCTGTCTTTTATTCCTTTTGTGGCTGAATGATATATAAATAGGGATGATCTGAGTGCTATTGTCACTAAACCATGATTTAAAACTATTACCTACTACAGATAAGATATTAAAAATAACAATTTAACGGAACCCTATTTAAACAGATTCTGAACTATTCAGGGCTGAGCTAGTCCTCTATAACCTGATGGCTGATTGTCCACAGAGGTTTCTGTAGACCGTATGTTCAATCAGAAATTTGACTATAATTGCACTGAAAAAAGCTGTGATTTGTCAGCTAATACATACATACAGTAGTAAGCACACAGAGCTCATTAAAGTTCCAGGTTTCAATCTTTCTGAATTTCTTTTTTTAACAGAGGAAACTTTTTTTCTGCAAGGGCTTAATTAATATATAATTGGACTCAAATAGACATATATTTATGCCCAATCTTATTCAATATCCGATTTTGCTAAAAATGCATGATACTTGAAATAGTTGGATGTGATTACATTTAATCAGCTAGTTTTTTTCAATAATGAATTAATCACATAATGGAACCAAGATATCTGTGGATGACTATATCTATCCCCCATGGCTCTACACAAATGCACAAATGAGTCCTTCTGGTTTAGCAGTAAATCTTTACCTAAAAAGGAGGGATTTTAGTATATATCTAAGTTTACATATTTAATAAGTTTAAGGGGCGTAAACACTGGTGCAAAGTCTTAATAGTGTTCCCTTTCTACTAAGGCACAAGAGGCTCTTAAGGTGTCATTGGGGAGCGGGATAACCCTCTAAATTTTACCCTCTGTTATCCGATTCCAAAAAGGAAAATAGGGACAGATCGTTTTAAAAGAAGGTATTAGGTCTTTACCAAAACCAATTGGAACCAATGCTTTATTGCAACAGACAGGTGAGGCACAGCACATAAAACATTTATCCCTATATAAATATTCATAAATTCATACAGCTCATTAATCAAGCTTCCTCTGTACAAAAAGTCTGCTATATCCTGACCAGGTATATTTTAAAGGGTTGATTTCTAGTCCCTAAGATGATCATTTTAATTGATTATCTTTTTACTCTTAAAGGTCTGGAAGGTAGAAAACTTTACAGCAAAAGAAAAGTTGTAGCCGATAAAAAAAAACTCCTAAACATGAAATGAGTCATAATTTAAACTCCACATATCAGCTTCATCCTTGAGTAAACAGGGAAGTAACAACTGTACTAGCAAGGTCATATAAAGCTTTGTTGATATTAAAAACAAAAGCGTTGATTACCTTTCTAACCACAGACAGAAATAGTAGTGCAGCTGCTGTTTCATGCCTGAATTGTTACGTTAGCTAAGATGTCTTAAGCTGAAGAAGAGAAACAGACCGGGTCTTACCTTGGGCCTCAGCTTGACAGGATCTGCAGGCAGGTGAGAAACAGACACAGTGAGTGGAATACAATATTAGAATATGGTGGCTTCTTGACACCCAACCTCAACTGTCAACCTTTGCTGGCCCCTTATCATGCCTCTGAATGCATAAAAACCACAGTGGTTGTGAAAAAGAGAAGCTTTTCAGATTCTTGAGCTGGCTTTAGCTGGAGGGTAATGTACCTAAAAGCACCGATCTGGTGACACAGACATTAAGCTAAACGCAGCATTAATATAAATAAATATTATATATATGACAACACAAAAGATCACTGCTCCATATTTAGAGGCATCGCTAACAATTCCTGACAAATGTCAAACTTTTGCTGTAAAAATGTTTTGATGACACAAAGTCTAGGAACTTTTAACTACAAGTCCTTAACTTCTTAATTCCCTGGGCTATAAAAATGATATGACTCTGCCACTTTCTCTAAGGCACTCTTCAAAACGGGATACAGAGAAACAGACTTTCAACACAGGACAACTGGTCAAATGACTATACAGTCAACATTGTACCTTTTTATCTTTGATGCTGTTCAAATAAGAAAAATAACACACTTACCATTCCAGTAAACCACCTGTATATTTATCATCATGTGTCAGGAAATAGCCATAGGAAATGTTCTACCAGCATAAGCCTGCTGTTAACTACAGTCAAAGTAACATCCTCTGTCTTAGCTGCTTATTAAAACAGGTAAGACAAGATAATTTGCTATTTAAAGAAGGAAGAGGTGAAGACAGGAAATAACTACAAGTAAATTGCTATTTTAAGCAACTTTATGTACTGTATTTGCAGCCAGAATAATTCATTTCTCATAGTTACTCTTGAAACTTGGAAAGGCACGAGAACAATAACACTCAGCTGTGACAGATCTTCTTACATCAGGAACTGTCTTAAAGAAAATAGATACTTCCTTCAATCTACACTGAGAGCAATGATTTCAAATTGAAAACAAACGGGCAAGTAAGGGGTTTTGTTATGTTATTCCCCTGGCCCTGAGTTAAATTTACAAATGCTAAAATAATAATGTGATACTGATGCTGGAAAATCCATCCATTTTCAGTCATGCTTATCTAAGCGGGGTCAGAAGGGGTGCTGGTGCCTATCTCCAGCTGTCTACAGGTGTGAGGTGGGGTACACCCTGGACTGGTCACCAGTCCATCTCAGGGCAATACAGAGACAAATGGGACAAACAAACATTCGCACACACGCTCACACCTAATGAGAATTTAGAGAAGCCAATTAACCTCACAGTTACGTTTTTGGACTGCAGGAGGAAGCCAGGGTACCCAGAGAAAACCCACACATGCTCAGGGAGAACATGCAAACTCCATGCAGAAAGACCCCTGGCCGGGAATCGAACAAGGAACCTTCTAGCTACCCACTGCGGCACTAAGCAGCCCTGCTGAAAAATCACCCAATAAAATGAAAATAGGGCTCTAACTGAAATAAATAGCTTCAATTAGTAACAAGTAATTAAATCAGATAAAATTATTGAGTTTATAAGTTAAATAAATGAATTAAGTTGGGCAAAGTTAAAAGAATTACTTGTTACCACTTAAAGGAATAAATTCAATTTGGAGCAGCATTTTCTTTTTTGAGTGTATATCACACATTAAGGCAGGTAAACATATCATCCAAAGCTCACTTTTGTAGAACTACTATTAAAGTTTAGTCTTTGGGGTGTGCAGGTGGAGCAGTGGTTAGTGTGCAAAACCCATGTACAGAGGCCTTAGTCCTCGACATGGTTCGAATCTGGCCAGCGATCCTTTGCTGCATGTCTCATGCCCCCTTTCCTGTCAGCCTACTGTCAAAAAAATGAGCCAGTAGTGCCGTAAAAACTCAAAAAATATATATATTTTAGTTTTTGAGTCTCTACAAAAACATTTTTTCTATAATTATTTGAAGACTTCTATATATATCTTTATCAGGTCTGACAATAACTGTTCACCATATATGCATGTGTGAAATTTGAATAAAAGTATAACTGTTCATTTCGTGCTGCATCTCACCTGTTCTCCCACAGACTCCCAGTCGACCTAGACACTCTTTATGAGCCCCAAGACCACATTTTTGACACACATAACCCTGGTTAAAGATGCCCCTGCAGAGAGTTAAAAACAAAACTGCATATATATGATGCAAAGAAACAGTTTAACATTTAGAGATTTCTGGCCTTCTATGACATTGTCAAGATAAATTAAATAACACTAAAAACTCCCTCAGCTCTCAAGAAGAGTAAGAAGCTGGACTGGTGAGCTCTGGATAGAAACAGCTAAAGGTCTCTATGAAAGTAGATACTTCATTTGGATTTTAGCTATTTAGAAAACTGAGCTGTAAAATGTCATTATGTTCCTGCTTCGCTTTAAACATATTAACTCTAGAACAAAATTTAATCATAGCTTCCAGTCTGAGCATTTAGTACACTTAGGTATATCAGAATCCTACCTTTTCTCTAAGTGTGCAAAATTAATATCAACTTTGTTGAGGTGGCTAAATCTTACCTGAGCAATAGGTGACAGTAACTACATGAAGTGATTCTTTCAAATGTGTGCATCCGGAACTGGTGGGAGTTATGGTTGGCCTTTTCTGGTCGGATATTTGAGCTAAAAACAAAAACCACACACAAAAAAAGAAAATGATTGCTTACTACAAATAGGCTGGTATGGCAAACTCTAACCCCTCTGTGTTGAAGGGAATTAAGTAAAATTACCATATATGACATTGTTTGTATAATAGAGTATTTGAAGAAGTGTTTGCCAAATATGAATGATTTTCATTATATAGGTAAATCTGACACTTGTTAGCCTTTTATATCTACTTTCACCAGTAGTAAAGTATGTATATGGGACCAACCAAGGTTTGGACAGGAAATTATCAGCACTTTTATTGTCAGACCAGCTTTCAAGAGGTGTCCTTAAATGTAAAGAAATCAGATATACAAAACACTTTAACCTGTTGCAAGGTTGGAAATCCCACAGTTTAGGTCAGTTTTCATGATTTATCTATATGATAGAAACTGAGGTACCAAAAAGGAGCGATACAAGGTGAAATCCCCAGCTAACTAATAAGGACAATTACACCTGCTTCACATTTAATAAGAAACAAACATTTTCAATCACATCCAATCTATCCAAGACTGTGTGCTGTTAATACAAAAGAGGGGTGTGCACATCTCTACACATCAACAAAAACTTTTTATTTTTGTATCCAATCATCCAACAGCATTTTAGACACCACTAAAACACTCTGACAAGAAGAAAAGTACTGTAATGATCTGGAGCTGATTTTCTTCTTTAAGACTTCAATAACTTCCGGTAAATGAAAGATCTAATATTCAACTAACTAGCTAACAAAAAAAAAGGAGAAGATCTAGACATAGATTGTGACCTTGATTCAAGCACACATTGTGCACAAGAATTCTCTGCAACAAACCTGCAATTCCACATATGTATGGCTATAAAAAAAAGCAGAAAAACAAATTGGAGTGGCCTAGTCAAAGTCTGTAATTAAATCTATTTGGGGAAGAGGGCCAAAAACGTTGAAAAACCCTGCAAATATGGAAAGACTAAAGCTACAGTATCCTGCCAGAATTCCGTCAAAAGGATCCAAAACATATTGCATTTAATGTCAAATATTTGTCTGAAGGTGGCACAACCATTTAATAGGTTTAGGGATGGTTAATGCTCATGGAGCAAGATTATTTTGTATTGCTTTTTCTCTCTTAATAAAAACTATATATATATATATATATATATATATATATATATTATGAAAACATAAAAAAATTTGTTCTGACATTTAGTTAAAGAAGAAGACTTTAAGGTAGCAAACACTTTTCCTCTGCACCTTACAACAAGGAATTTGTGACATCTGTTCATTGACTTACTTTGTATTTGACATAGCCAAATTGGTAAATTTCTATCAGAGCTAATAAGCATCTACCGGTATATTGTTTTTAGTATATATTTTTTAAGTGTTGTTACAAAGTAGAAAAACAGCATACTTAGGAAAACATAATCCTAAGTATATGAGTGGAGATACATGTTGTTCTGTATGGGCTGAAATATAGAAGGAGCAACAAAATGATGAAAATAAACAGAAACCTTTTCAGAGCTGAGCAAACAATCCAGAGACCAAAGTGCTCCCTTAAGGAAGTCACATCTTCTTTGCTTGGCACAATTTTCACATCCAGAATTGGAACTTCTGGTGTCATTACCCAATGGACATAAGCCCATATAGCTTATTTCTGACTAAAACCCAGCTGAGAAAACAGCTAAGAGCCTAGAGAGAAGAAACATGTTTTTTGTAAACTCTATCAAACACACATTATGTTTTGGGCAACTCTCAGTTGGGCTTGTAGTTCTGTGCAATTTACATTAAGGCAAATCCCTTCAGAACATAAAAAAAATATTTCACTTTTATGTACGTATTTATTAGGGTCAAAGTTTTAAATGTTTGTAGGGGGAGAATTGTAAAACACATTCAAGTAAATTATAAGGTTTACAAGAGAGTATTTTCCAATCAACAAAAGAGGAAAAAGAGGATTTCTACAAATAAACTTCTTCAAATGTTACAGAACAACACAAATAAAACTGTTTATCTCCACAGAGCACTGAACTGCAGAATTATCACCACAGAGTTAGTTTACAGTAGCCCTGAAGCTCACTTTATATCAACACATAGCTATGTAAACTATCTGTGTATTTTTGTACTTTTGTCAGCCATGTGTGCTTGTTACAGCCAAGACCTGATCAAACAGCACACATGAAAGAGTCAACAGCTCTCTCCCACAGAAACAACACAGTTGCAAACAAGAGTAAATAAATTCTAGGTATAGGCAGGCTTACACTGACCTTTTCGTGCAAATCGATTGTTGACTAAAGAGGTGATTGTTGCCTTCCGGGGGAGCAACTTTGTCCTGCAGCCTATCACCGTTATTGGGCAACGTTTGGAGGGTAGCCAGCGTTATGTTCCTGGGTCAGCACATGAATGCAGACCTCCAATTGAGCTCTAACACCATAGAAATGTGAAGAGGGCTCAACCCAGTGTAAGGTGGGAGCTGCTGACTGTGTTCTACTGCTGCTCCACTGAGTGTGCTGCATATCTGTATAGTTCACAAGCTGCACCACAGCACACAAGAAGGCACTACAGAGGGTCATCAACACCTAAAAAGCACCACCCTCCTCAATCCCCGAATAACCTGTTCAGAACTTGCTGGCTTAAGAGAGTATGCAGCACTCAGAGGGACTGTGCAAAGCTGGGACACCGGTTGTTTGAGCTGCTGCCTCCAGGTCCAACTGATGTTACACACTAATAAACTCAGGGACAGTACGGAAGTGCATAACTTGAATTACTTCTAATTCTTTGACGATGTACCAAACTACTGCATTATTTTTCTTTTTTCAATATTTATACCCTTCATTTGATTCTGTACATAGTTTCTGTTACACAGTCTCGCTACAAACCCTAAGTGGTTAAATGAATCGATTCCACTATAATACTACACAATCTAGATTGGTAAAAGAACAAATTTCCTCCTTAGATATTACCTCTTATAATGTTTTGCCTTTGTCTACTTACATTGCCATTTCAAACTGATCCAACCACTTCTTCTTCAGCTCTCTGGTCTTAAAGAAGAACTCGAAGCCTGTATGGCCCTGCTGATGTGTCACGAAGAAGCCGTAGCACCACTGTAGATATGAAAGAAGAATAGAAAACAGAAGTAAAATCCTCTTAAGCTACTTGTGTATGATTTAGGTAATGGTGTCCCTTCCATGTTTCATTTGTCTCACACAGCAAGTTGATATGGTATTATTGTAGGTTCTAATTTTCAACTAATTTTCAAATCCCAGAGAACAGGTGCAAGTCTAGATGCAGCTGTGACAGGCCCTAACTGAATGAAAATTGAAATAGTCCAATTATTTTTAACAAAACATTTTAAGCTGGGAGATAAACTGTCTGGTGATGAGAACGTGGAGCTGAAAAAGCCAGTCAGAAACTCCAAAAGCATTTGCAGGCAATAACCCCATTTTATGTGAGGGCTTTTGCTTTAAAAAAAATAAAATAAATAAAATTCAACATTTTTGCCAATGTTGACAAAATGATTAATGTGTATTAGTTATTTCTTTCATTTGAGTTGTAGTCAAAAACAAAAGAAAATAAAAAAGCAATTTTTGGTGCAAAATAAAGCCTCAAAAAAGTAAAGATCACATTATATAGACAACTTACAGTAACCTGCAGATGTATACATAACCCCTAAATGAAACTTTTTCACACGTTGTTATGTGACAGCTATAAACTGCAACTCTTTTTTTTTTTGGTTTATGAAAGAGCAGCACAAAATAGTGTATAACCTCATTTTAATGCAGAAGGAAAGTGATGTATAATTTAAAAAATATATTTTGCAAATGATGTATAACCGTGTTTAGCAAAAGCTTATAGCTCTTTTTACAGTTACTGTTCGGTAAAATGTATTGTAGCAGACAGCTATTCAGTTTCTTGATTTTACAGCTAAATAGAAATATAATTATTCACATTGCTCCAAAGAGAAGGATTAATAATAAATACATTGATAAAATATTCAGGAATCTCAAAAAATATGAATCAATCTAGGCCACCCTTAAAGTTATAACCATGCCAGGCATACAGTTCTAATAACGACAAGGTAGGCATAAAGGGCAAGTAAGTGGCAGGTTCCTGACATAAAGCTGTCAGCAATCCTCTCTGGTGTTACAGGCAGTTGGGTCACTGGCGGCACAGGGGAAATGTGTTAGCAGCTGAATTTGTTCAACATCAACACAGTTGCAACTATAATATGAGTTTAACCAGAGCTTAGCTTAGAAAGCACTGAAGGGGTTCACAGCTTTAAAAAAAAACAAATTCCTTCTAAAAGTATACAGTCATAATGATTATCTGCAAGTATATTATCTTCCAGTGATACAAGAGTTATAGCTACTAAGATAAATTGGGGCATAAAACAATTTCAGGAAAGAAATAATTTCTTTAATCTATTGACCTCTCAGAAGTTCCACTGTAGCACATCAGACTTATCTATTTTTATTTCAATGTCCTTGCTTTTCCAAGTGATCTGCTTCAGCTGGTTGTGTAATATCCAGTAATGAAAAAAGTAGTAGAGTTTGCCCAACAGTCATTAAGCTGACCTGCAATGTCCTAAGTCTTTTAGAGCTCTGCAGGGTCTTAAATCATGGATGAATGTCTGATGCTCTCTAGAATCCCACTTAAGAGTTAAAGTTTTATTTAACAAAAAACTGACGCATACAATTAAGCAGCCGTGGAGGAGTAAACACACATCACGCCGTAAGCTTCCAGGTATTGGTTAAAATTACACCCAAACAGCTCTACATGTGCTTTAGTGTTTCTTTGTGCAATTAAAAGAACGTATAGAATGCACACTGCTACATGGTGAAAAGGGGCATAGAGTAAAACTACACTTATGTTTAATTTCAAAATATTGGCAAATAAAAAATACACACAAGAATGAAATTATCCTGAAAAGCACATGAAAGCCATGACATGTTAAATACCAATCACTGTACTGAACAAACCACACACCAACTCGCATCTCACAATGGCTCATTGGAGTAAATGATGATGATAATAGGCTGCCGTTCATGAAAAGCACATCATATTTTGGCAAGCTGTCGCTTTCATGTTAGCAATCAGCAGCAGAGTGAGAAGACACCATCTGTGGGCATCTATCAACACAACATCAGCAAGTCTCTGACACTACAATATGGCCCGTGAATGTTTCCACAAGGCAAAAAAGGAAATTTGGCTAAAACCCATGAGTGCTGTTATGCAACTCTTTCAGCTTTTTTACAGTTAGTCCCAATATAGTTACAACCTTCTATCTTTATTTTTGAGATTTGATGTAATAAGACCAACATTTATAGTGGAGGGAAAATTATACTTAGTATTTATTTTCCATTTACAAAAACGGTACAATCCCCTATGCACTACGCCCCCAAACCAAATCAAGTGCAACCAATTGCCTTCTAAAATATCCCATTAGTAAACAGAGTCAAATAGTGTATTTAATATTAAGATTGTTAAATCTAAGCTGTTTCTCAGAGGTTAGAAGGAGAACACATTCGTTCATCATGAAGCCCAAGGATCACATCACACAGCTCAGAGATAAAACAGTTAAGAACTGTCAAGTGCATAGGAGGGGGTTCAAATAAATCTTCCACCCTTTGAATGTCCCACTGATTATTGTTAATCCATCAATTTAAAAAAAACAAGCAGCAAACCTTTTTATCAAACTAAAAACAAGGATTTCCCTGTTTAAGCACTGATTTCCATTGATGGCTGAATTACAAACTTTTGCTGACCTTCAATCATCTGAGTCAGGTTTATTTAAACAGGGAAACATGTCAAATATATATATATATGGGGAGGTATAAGGTCAGGAAAGAGAAGTATTTTCTCTTCTTTAATGTGCAGCAAGGCAAATGTAATCACTTTAAAGCCTCTATGAATACGGAACTTCAAAAGCTGAAGCTCAATTTTGCAACACAAGAACAATTGTGGGGTGAGCTTCCTTTTCCATTCCACTGACCTTTTTGCCTTCTCTGTCAGATGTGGGATTGTTTGTGACTTTGAAGTAGTTAAGATCCAGTATATCCTTCATCTCATAGTTGTCTCCCCTTCGCTTGCAAATAATGGCTGCTACATCGAATAAAAATAAATGCCTATAAAACAAAAAAAACAGTATTACATTTTTCTATCTTTATCCTATACTATAAAAAAATCCCTTATTTTACTAATAATTAGATGTTCCTTAATCTAATTTCACTCATCAAAATTTTAAAAAGCAATTAAACTGCCTAAGAACTTGCTTTTCGCTGCAGGACAGCAATGCTGAAACAGACTAACCTGTCCTGTTTCCTCTTGTCAACAGTGGAGATTAAGCGCACCTCCCCGTCTCCTTTTGGTCGACCAAAACTGACGAGTGGCTGATTCTGCAAGAAAAATACACAGGAGTTAGGCACTGATGTATTTTGGGAATATACTTTGACACTTGAATTACTATATTCTTACAGCTGCTCACTTTACTGTTGACTTTTCTGTGAATCTCTTAGAATACAAAACTGGAATCAGTTAATATTATAATATAAATGTCAGACACAGAGAAATCCATATCTGCTATTTGCCAGAAGAATGTCTAATCAGTGGCTCTTTAACATTCAAGCATAATGATATATACATAATGATGTGCGACTATGCCTGGTCTGTTGGCGTTGATACACTTTTTGGGACACACTGAAGATTTGTGTAAAGAATGTTTTACCTGTAGCCAAAAGTTACATTCAGAAATGCACCAGTAGGCGAAGATCCTCTACACCATTACTATATTGCCTTACCATTACTGAGGGGTCTTTCCTTTGTACGCATCATCTAAAACTCCGTAATCCATAAATAATGTTTGAAATGCTTGCACACAGACATTGCTGGCTACACCACAAATGATACCAGATGTTTTTTAGTATACTATATCTAGAAAAGGGTTAAGTTTGATGTTTTTTGGTCTATGGGATATGTTCTATGCCCTCACTATGTATGATTTATGGATGTATATTATTTCATCATGGTGGGAAAGTGTCTGCAGCTGATGGTGCGATATTAAATGCTTTTTGATCACTGGCTCCGTCTCTACACATACAATACTTATTGAGTTTATTTTATGACTGATGAGGATCAAAAAGTCCATATTTTGGTTAACTTTTTTACTATATTATGAGTATTTTTATTTTACATTTTATGGGGAGTGTTGGCCTAGTGGTTAGAGCAGTGTGCTTGTGCTCTGAGAAGGTTGCAAGTACCCAGTTCGATCCCCACAGCCTTCACTCTGGGTCTCTGAGTCCCTTAACCCTACACTGCTCCCAGGGCACCACAGTGGCAGCCCTCAGCTCCCCAAGGGGATGGGTGAAATGCAGAAGTGAATTCCTCCATTGTGAGATCAATGATGTTCAATAGTTATTAAGTACTGTAACTGCTGGAGTGGCTTTTGTTGCTGAAAATAAGAAACCATATTAAGATTATCCCAGAAATACCCTGATCAGACATTTTGTGTTTTTTCTAAAGCAAATTTGTAAAACTAATAAAGCTGATACTGATTTCTCTTGAGAACCTATTGTATAAATACCAATAGAATCTATTTCCCCTACCTCTCTATATGCCTAAAATCTCAATATTTAGGCAATATAAATCTGCATACTTTTCCATAAATTCCAAAAATTACAGATGCATCACAATCTTAGAAAAGCTAACTGCACTAAAATCTGTTGTTTTAGCTTATAAATGTATATTTTTAAGATAATTTTGAAAAAGAACCAAAATCAAAAAAGCTTAAATCACCAGAAGATGGTAATAAAAAAACTGGGTTACCTGTTGCTTCAGAGTTAAGTATGGAAAGGTCATAAACATTTATACAGGTATTTGAGTTTGGACCAGGCATCCCAAAAGTCGGTCCTCGAGGGCCGCGGTCCTGCAGGTTTTAGAGGTTTCTCTGCTTTAGCACAGCTGATTCTGATGATTGCAGTTCAGCAAAAGCCTGTCAATCAACTATCAATGTAAATTACCTCGAGGACCCACTTTGGGGGTGCCTGGTTTGGACTATCAAAGAAAAATCTCACACAATACAATACAAAATATCAAGTGACAGTTCCATTAAAAGTTTCTTTAGTTTACCAGGTTTTCAATAGATCTCTGATACTGGTCAATCTCCCGCAGAGTCTCATTATCTCTCTTGACTTCATTGACATACATAGCAAGATCCTGTGGGGAACACACACACACAAAAAAACATTTCATTGAATCAATGTCTAGCAACTGCCACGGGTTAACACAACTGATCATATAAATATAGAAATAACTTGTCTGAGTTAAATGTGTTGAATTGCATGACTTAAAAAAAACAAGTGTCTGATAAGATTCTAGTGCAACAAAATACTTGACAAAATAAGAACCTGTTTCATATCTGTGATTATAAACCGTTCAAAACAGACACTTGCCTTCATGGCATCCAGAGCAATTTTCAGGTTGGTCTTATCTGCAGCATCATGAGTGTGTTTCACAAGTTCCTGACAGAGAAAGAAATGATAACCAACATCTCTTAGCTGAACCTTTTCCAGATGAATGCAATTACAGGAGCAAATACATTTAAAATCCTTCCAGGGTCTTGGTTTTCTTTCGAAAGACTTGGCTCTTATGAATTACGGTAACTGATTTCAGAGCACTTAAGGTAGTAAGTTAAGGTAGCTGTACACAGAACAGTGAAGGCTTACTCATTTCAGGCAGTAGTTTCTCTACTGTAGAATGAATGCACCTAATTTTGTGTTTTAATAACAGATTATCTGATTTAGTCCAGTTCAATAAAAAAAAGTTTTCATGTTTATTACTTTACATTGCAAGTTAATCAGCACTGATTGATTATTTCATAACACTGAGCTTAAGTTTATTTAAACAAGACTAATAATATTGTCTGCAGACACATCTGCAGTGCAGGGCCATTTTAAATGTTTTTCATGGGAAAAAGAAGTGATTAAATTATCATCGGACATTTAACTTGTTCTTCTTTTTCTTATTAAAATAGTATATATTCGGTAGAGAAAAAATAAATTATTTTTTTGCTACACTAGTTGTGTGCAAGTGTTTGATGGAAGCTGTCATCATAAAACAGAAGTTCATAATAATATTAATTTGGTTTTATGGCCAAACATTAAAGACATTTTATCAGACATCAGACATTTTACCTCTTTAACTCACCTCAAAATGTGCTTTTTTAAACTAGTATAAAGAAATAAACTTCTCATCCACACAGTGGAAGTCTTAAAGTATGAGTATGAATTCTGTTTTTTTGCTCCAAAAAGAGTTATCTAAGGAAGATCAAAACGCATTAAAGTTTTTTATAAGAAAATCCATCTCTAAAATAATTCAGCGGAGTCTCTCTCACAGTTTGCGTCTGATTGGCTGACCGGTCTGTCATGACATCTCAACTTCAGAAGGGCATGGTTGCAGCTGGTGGCGACGCCAGGAGGGGTTAAAGCTAGCCCTGTAAAAGTCAGCCCCCCATAGCATCCTCAACAAAATTTTAGATTAATAATCTTTATTAGTTAATATTCTGAAACATGTGGTTATTGTAATTCTTTCCTCACAAAACATAACCAGTTTAAAAAAAAACAACATTTAAATTTATAAAAGTATATATCAGTAGTACCTCCTTTCTAGTTGCAATCACTAAGATTTTTTTTAAGAAAGCTTTCATTATTTTGTAATTTATTTCAATAATTGAGATTGTCAAAATATGTGGTGCAACTGTCCAATCCAAATTACTGTTCTTTGAAAATAGAAAATAGTTAAAATTTATGAAAATGTGTTTTATACCATTTTTGGCGTTATTTCATATATGATTTCCACTCCTGTAATTTCAAAGTATTTCTATTTTTTATTAAAGGGGGGGGGGGGGGGGGGTTAAAGATTTACACATTTATATGGAGAGTAACACTTTTTAAACCCCTTGACAGCTTTTGGTAACCTTATTTCATATTCGTACTATTAAAACAAACTATTATTGTGTATTTCACTCTCGTGGAAATAAACTAAACTACTGTAAACTGTCAATTTCTGTGAATTACTGCAAAATTAATTATTCAGAACATGTCATTTCACTAACTATTTGAAGGTAATTCTACACTTATTATTATTATTATTTAATTCACCAGATGTTGCTGATGGATTCACAATGAATTCACTGTGTTTGTTTCCCAGGTCTGGGAAAACAAAACACAGTGAATGCATTTTAATAGTTTATATATTATACTACACACAATATGTTCATGATATACCTTATTGTTAACTTTTGCAGATTTAAGTACACTTCTGCTTTTGTTTGCATCCGTGTGTGTAAAGAATACTTCATTGCATCCTCAGTTCTATGCTTAGCCCATCTTTAGCTCCTGCAGAGATATGTCTACATAGAGATATGTCTATGGAGCTGCCACTGCTCCAAGCCCTTGTGAGAAAAAGGTATAATCACTCTTTTAAAAGATTTTGTTGCATGAATTGTGTTTTTCTTTGCATCATGTTTTTTTTTTCAAAGAAAAGTTCCTGCAAGGTTTGGCTTACCTCCCTACACTCTGTGGAGGCTCAGTTTTCAAAACCTAGAAAACTTAAAGCTGTGACACACTGTTTCCTAGCTTGCCATGAATGTAAGAAAAATGTAAGTTACATAGGTCTAAAAAATATGAAATAAGGATTTATTTTTGCTACATGAAATGCTGCCACCTTTTGAAAGCATAATAGAATATTCCACCTATAGTTGGATACAAGGTGGAAGGTTCACAGTGGGTATGTGACTATTAATGTGGCATCACAGCCAATTATTTCCATTTTCTTTAATTAGCACATGACAGTTGTCGTGCAAACCAAGTATAATGGAAGAAGCTTGTTTCCACACGAACCTTCCAACACAGTATTGCCTTATATTGAGGCCAAGTTGTTATTTCTAAAGTGGCATATGCTGCCTGTTAATCACACAAGCTGTCAATATTGTGTTTACAGTGATTATTTATTTATAACAGAAAATAATCATGATAATATATCATTTTGCACTATTATATACTCTGTAGGTCTATTATACATAAAAATATTAAAGGGGGATAAGAAAAATGTAAGGCCTGATTTAAGGAGAGCCAACTCTTCTAATATTGTTACATGTAATGAACAAATATACAAAGCATATCGCCTTGCTTTTTGTCGTTAGCCTTTATTTTCCTCAATGGCTATAAACTCTCTGCATCAACGTCATTTACCATGAAAGCCTTTACCCTCCACAAAGATTTAAAACCTTTCTTTAGGTATTGCCCTTTTCTGTTCTGCCATCTGTAATCTGACCTTAGATTTATATAAACCAGAGGAGATGGTGTCAAATAGTGGAGGGAATATGAGCATTGGAGAGAGAATACACAAAAAACATCTTCAATTTTTATAAGTGAGCGCAATAGGAGTTTCTCAAATTTCAACATAGATTATATCATTTAGAAATGTATGTATAATAATTTTCAGTTAGGTCATATAACAGGAACTTTTTCCCTTAAATCTTTTTTCTTTGATGTTAAAGTTTTTGGGAAATAACAAAACTTTGGTCTGCAAGATCACATTTCAATGGTAAAGTAATTATGAAATACTATTTTTCTTCATATGGCAAAATTGAAAATTACAGTGGAGGATGTCGCCCTCTAGTGCTTATTTAGATGCTTAAACAAAAGCATTTTACCACCTGAAATAAACTTGACAAAACTTTTATAACTTCAGCCAAGTGCAAATAGCGAGAATTGAAACACTACCGTTTTTTGTTTAAATTAAATTAGATTACAATAAAATTTATTCAGTGGCAATTGATAATATTTAGAAAACATTTACTAGCAGTTCTGAAATAGATATTGTCTTACTGGTGACTTCAAGCATAGTCAACAGTTTCATAGAGCAAAGGTTTTGTTTTGTTTTTTTACAAAACACTGATTTAACCCAACAATCAGACTGTTATATCAACAGCAAGAAAGATACAGAATAAAATGTTTGTATTCCACCATTTAAGATTAAAACAGATCTAATGTTGGGGGTCATTCTAGTTCAAAGTGTTGAGCTGTCACTTAATGTGTTAACAAAGTAGTAACCTGAAATGGGAAAAGCATATAGTGAGAATGAAGTGTATAACACCAAACTGCTGAAAAAATATGGCCACAATAATACTTAAAATTTAAAATCAGCCATTTTTATATTAATAATTCTTCAAAACAGTGCTTTAGACCAGCCTACCTGTAGCAATAGATGGTACTTCAGAACTCTTTGCATTGGAACAACCAACAGGTCCCTCAGGGTGAACTTCCCATTGTTGGCCCTTTTGGAGCATTCCTACAAAATTACACAAAACAAACATTTACATTGGTTTAGCCCAAGCTGCACAGTGGCAGATGCTGTATATGTTTATGTTTTAAAGGTTTTCTCTTTTTTTTCTAAGTCTATGTTCTTTTCAGGAGTAATTTTATTTTACAAGACTAAACAGGGTTTATCTTTTTTTCAGATTTGTTCCTCCTGATAAACAAAAAAAGCCAGTGTATGTGTAATGCAGAAAATACACATCAGGGGGCAGTACAGGTTAATAAATGGTGCTTAGTGTAAAGTACATGGAGCACAAGGAGTTTCAGAAAACTGGTCTTCAAAAGTAAAATCACCTCTAGTTTCAGTCGAACATCCTCTTTCTCTTTGCAGATAAGGTCTAAGACAGCGATGGCGATCTCCACCCGACTGCAGTATATCCCATATATGAGAAGTCTATAAAATCAGAAAGAAAGGATGATTTACTAAAGACACTACTTCCTGAAAACCACCAGAGATCTATGTGCTTTGACACAGTAATCCTACTTTTACAGTAAATTGTCTTTATTTCATACTATAATTACAAACAATGAAATAAATAGTGGGATAGTTTATATGGATTACCTTTAAAATGGCAAAAATGGTAAATGGCATGTATTTATATAGCGCCTTTATTCAAGTTAGGAGACTTGACCAAAGCGCTTTACACTATATTCATTCACCCATTCACACACACACTCACACACTGTGATACAGTGATAACTGGCCTTAAAGTGTTTTTACAAATAAGTCAGTAATTTTTACACTGTTACTACTAAATAAATTACAATGCAACAAATTTCTTTTCTTAAGGGGTTTCTAATTAGTAAATTAACTAAATCCTTGTGTGATTCAACCTCTTTTGAATACAGCTGTTATGTGAGCGCCTCATAGGTTTTTTTAGGGAACATTAGTATGCAAACAGAGGACCACGAGTAAGGCCAAACATCTGAGTTAAAAGAGTAAAAGTTCACTGAAAATACACCAAAACAAACTTACAGGTAAGCAAAAAGGAGCATAAATTGAAAAAGCAGCAAGAAGGCCTACGGTTACTTTTAAAGGATGGCACTTAAGTGTCTGGAAAATATTCTAGGTTTCAGTTCTAGGAATCTCGGGGGTTAGATCATAGAAGGTTCCAGAACTTAAACATGAAACAGAGTTTTTTGTTGAGTAATGCAACTCTAAACATATAGCAAAGGCCATGATGAAATACATAAAAGCTATTTTAAAAATCTATACAAATCGAACAGATTTATGACACAGAAAGGCCTTATTAACTATTCATAAATACGCTCAATCTGGTATGGCTGAACTTGAGTTCTGAAGAAATAACAGCAATTTCTTGCTTGCAGATATGCCTAGATGAGTGAGATATAAGGCAGAAGTGATGCAGAGTGGTTTCAAAAAGAGATGTAGGGTGCGATGATAGGTGAACTTAAGTAAAAACCCATGCCACACTTTTCTAATTTTATCATCAAATAAACCTTAAGTAAAACTCACTGAACTTTGTGGTTAATGAATGTGAGAGGTATAACCGGAAACATCACTACAGTTCAGAATTTTTAAGAATCTTCATTTAACACCCACTAAAGAACTAATAATCAAACCAATTTTTTTTTTTTTATCTTTGTGTCAGACTTGTTTAGTACCTGTCCTTATAGCTGATAAAGATTTGGTAGAGATTAAGGGCGTTTTTGTTGAGGATGGAGTCTTGCAGTTCGGCCATGAGGCTTTTGTGAACTTTTACCAAATCCTGCATTGGAGAAAAAAGCAATGAGCATTTAAAAAAGGGGGTATTGTTTTCATATTATTTGGTTAAGAGGTAAAAAAAATATATAATTTGACTTACAGGAATGTTGACAAAAACTTTGTCAATTTCGGCCTCGGAGAAGAATTTCTTTAATGGATTCAGGAAGTACTAAAAAAGAAATTTCATAAAACCATCACTAAAATTTTATTTTGCCATGCTTCACATTTTTTGCTTATAATTCAAAATAATCATATACTTAAATATAAACCATACAGATGAATCATTTAATGAATGACAATAGTGTGACAGAGAGGTTAGATGTGTTAACTGGAAATGTCTTTAATAATCCCCAAAAAACAAAAATCCTTCATGCAAAATTATCATTATTTTTATCACATTAAGATGTACAAGTCTGGCGTTGAGATCATCATCATTGTTACCTATAACACACAGCGAAATAATGTGATTGTTTCAATGTGTGATATATTAATAAGTAACTTAATATATATGTTGGTGCAGCACCTTCTCGATGGACTCCAGAGTCTCTGTGTATCTCTCTTCTGTCTGTTTAATCTCTGAAAGACAGCAGCTACGAACATCAACTTCCGCCTGTTTCTAGAAAGACACACAAGAGAAAACGCTGTTTGAATGACACCAAGTGATAGAGAAATGTAACTTTCTATTGGGTATATAGAGGGAAAAAAAACTCCAAACAGTTTGCAAGTGATTAAACAATTAAATCAACATTTATCACACAAATGATTTCTGGTCTTTACATTTTGATACATAACAAACAAACTTTATCACTTTTGGATCCTAAAACAAGAAGGCAATGGACAATCGAGTAGAATATATATAGCCAAAGGTATCAGATTAGTCATATCAGGGAATTTGAATCCCCTTCCATGGCTGCATAAGAATACAGTTTGGTAAGGAAAACTTGACAGGTCTGCACAGAGTTCTGACCTTAACTCTAAAGAACTTTTTAGGGATGAATTAGTGGGAAGACTGCAGTTCTCCCCTTAGACTTTTGGAAGACATTTACAGAATAGTTAAAAGCTGCTACTGTGAGAAAAGAGTCCATCAACAAACTGAACCCTGTAGATTAAGAGCAGGATGCATCGACCTTCATGTACATACAGACAGACATACACTTTGGACAATATAGTGTCAGACACAAGTGTCCCCATTCTAAGCACTAGGCTACCTCTTAGCCTTGAAATACATTGATAGAATCCTGCAATGTTAGGTCAGATAGCTCATTGAGGAAAAAATGGTCCTCTATGGAAATATAGAGGGAGAGATATAAGCATTATTTTAGTAACTACTGTAATGCCTTCAGAAAATATATGGTATTGATAATTTGTGTATTTTAAGTTTAGATACAAGTGTTGCAGCGGTAATGCTGGGTTTGTGTGTGTCTGCGTGCACCCGCATACAAATGTGCTACTTTGTGTGGTCAGTTTGCTGCCAAATTCCAATGATTGTCCTACTTTGTGAGGACTAAAGACTGGTTTAGATGAGGAAATGTTATTTTCTTGGGCTAGGTTTGGGGTTAGGGTATGGATTGAGGTTAGGATAGAGTGAGGGATGTATTGGTAATGGTTAGGATCTTGGTTAGGCTATGCAAATGAATGGAAAAACAGAGCAAAGTTTCCATAGGGATTGCCATTGATATGTGTGTCTGTCTGTGTTGTGGGGTGGGGGTTTGAATGCACTTTCTGTTCCTATCAGTTTTTAATAACTGATGTCTTAGCAAGATAGCAAGTTGTAATATCTATTTGAGATCCCAATTTTTTACTCTTCACTTTAAAATCAACACATTTCCACCTAGTGGCAGCCTGTGGCTTTTAAACAATAATCACTATGAAGGGACCTGTCATGAATGCTTTAACAATCAGATTTAATTTTTTAATAGCATTGTGGATGCCTCTTTTGTAGTGTCCCTTCATTGAAGTGGCACTTCTGCAAGAGGAAGACCTGCTGAGTGTCAGGGGACATAATCTACGTAAATGGCCCTGGTTTCGGATTCACAATGAAAAAGCACACAAAACACAGTGTCAGTAGATGAAAAGCTTCCAGGAAGTTGATTTCTGGTTAACAAAAAAAAATAAAAAGAAACAACAAAAAAAGCCCACTCAGTAACAGTGGTAAAACACTTTACCTGTTAGAATGTACTTTCTTTTCACATCTGCAAAAAAAATAATCAACACATTCCCTACGTGGAAGTTAAATAACAAATAAGCACTTTAGAGCTGTCAGTGTTTAAAGTTACTCTGATGTTGATGTACACTAGTGATAAACCCAATATGAAGTTTTCATACCAGTGCTCATGTGTGGGTGCATGTGTGTGTTTGTCTGACTCATTGCTGTACCAATGGTGCATGCTGCTCAGTCTTCATAAGGTCTTCATAGATCTCGCCACCAGCATACTCGTCTTCTAGCCCGTATACCGCTGCATACAAGTCGTCTTCATCCTCAGGAACATTCTCGCTATCACATACACACATGCATGCACAAACATTAACAGGTCTGATCATGCAAAACATCTATCACAAGTAGGGTACCTTGTACTTATATAAGCTGTGTGAATAAAATTCAAAAATTGCTATATTTGTAAATATTGCAAAAAGTTTATTTTTCTAAAGCTCAGCTGTTTATCATAACTTCATATCATACCAGCATGCAGGTATGAAGGAATAATCTTTAACCCTTTAACAGGACAGCTCAGGATTCAAACATACTGATCTGTAACACTGATGTGGCAGGAAAAAAAATATAAATACACTCTGCAAAAAGCTCCCAACTAGAATCTTAATATGGTTTGTACAGAAGAATTTTAGCAAAAACATAACAAATTACTAATTTGAAATCTCTGACAGTAAGAGGGAAACTCCACCAAGGCTTCAGCCTTGGCGCCTAACAAAAAAAGATGGTGAGAAAGTAAAACTGCCCATGCATCTAAATAAAATAAACACTCTATCAACAGCTAACGGGCTTACAGAGAGGAGCCTTTACACTCACTCAATCAAGTCCTGGAGGTTGTTGTAAATCTCCTCGTCTTTCAGGCTCTCCTCCATTGGAAATGGCCTGGAAGGAAGGTAAAAGCAGCAGGACTTTAGTCATCTATTGAGGGTCGAAAAGTGGCGGTTTTTTTATCTATAAATGTATTTAAGCTTTAGCAAAACATATATGCTTTCATAAAATCTGAACAGAGATGAATTTGTTCAACATAAATAGGTTTTAATGGTCTGATTAATGGTCTGTCTGGCTCTTAGTTTTTTCTACCTTTCTGGAGGAAAACAAAGCAGTTACCGGTAGTTTTTTTTTTTTGTATTGCTTACTCCTCAGGAAATGTTAAATAAACAAGTTGGTTATTTAGAATAATATTTTTATTCTTTTTTTTCAGTTCTTATATTGAATCGAAATGGAAATTTATGGGTAACTCCAGGCTGTAAATTTCACTGCAGTTTCCGTAAGGAGGGAAGGAGGAGGTGGAGGTGGCAGCGAATGGAAATAAAATAGATGTGCAAGTAGAAGGTATTTTGAATAGACATAAATATATATATATATATATATAAAACTTACTTGAATCCACCTTGCTGAGCCACTGCTGTATAAGAAAGCTTTGACAGAGTGTCCATGACCTGTTGATAGAAAATTATATGTTCATTTGTTTATCATATCTTACATTTAGAGAACACAATACAATACAAATTTATTTGCAAAAGTTTCTGCAAATAATACAAAATATTTGTTCCACTTTAATCAACTTGAACTCAAAGAAATAAATAAAGATGATTAAAAAGCCTTTAATCTCTTTTACCAAAAGGTGTTCCAACTAATTTCAGTAAGTCCAATTCAGGTCTAAAGTCTTTTACCCAAAGTTTGAGTCATGTCTCAAACTGAGTTTAAAAAAAATGTTTCTAATCAAATGCATTCCATCACTAAACGTTGTAGTTCAGGAGTTTATTTATATACTAAATATACAAAAATACAACTAAATAATGACTTACAACTATATTTAAATACTGTCAATTTGCCTTAGCATGTAAGAAACAGCTGCATTCCAGTTTTTATTGTCTCGAAAGTTAAAAAAGTCCACATTTTCTTTCCATTATAAACAGAAATAGGTATTTCACTTAGAAAAAAAACTAGACAGAGATTTAAACTGGTTCGTAGAATAGAATAGAATAAAGTAGAATAGAATGAAATAGAATAGAATAGAATGAAATAGAATAAAATAGAATAAAATAGAATAGAATGAAATAGAATAGAATAGAATGAAATATAATAGAATAGAATGAAATACAATAGAACAGAATGAAATACAATAGAATAGAATAGAATAGAATAGAATAGAAGGAAATATAATATAATAGAATGAAATAGAATAGAATAGCATGAAACACAATAGAACAGAATGAAATACAATAAAATGGAATCGAATAGAATAGAGTGAAATAAAATAGAATAGAATAGAATGAAGTAGAATAGAATGCAATAGAATAGAATAGAATGAAATAGAATACAATAGAACAGAATGAAATACAATAGAATGGAATAGAATAGAATGAAATATAATAGAATAGAATAGAATGAAATACAATAGAACACAATGAAATACAATAAAATAGAATCGAATAGAATAGAGTGGAATAAAATAGAATGAAATAGAATAGAATAGAATAGAATAGAATAGAATAGAATAGAATAGAATAGAATAGAATAGAATAGAATAGAATAGAATAGAATAGACACCCTTTACTGTTCCACAGTAAATAAATTCAGGTGTATATTTCCTTTTAATCATTTTTGGAAACCAGATCTAAACAATAAAGATATTTCGATGTACACTATAAATCTCAGCATAATGAGAGACCTGGCGTGTGATGAGGAAATGTGAGATAAAGTTACATTTTAAAAGGAAAAACAAATATTGTTTTATTCAGATATCTTAGCAGCAAGTGTTCTATGAGAACTGCTGCTGTCTTTAACTTCCATACTTGCTTGCTTTCACTCCTGAGTACATATTAGATACTAATAACATATTAATAGTTTTTTCTTTTTTTATGACTGTCAAACCTAAGTCAAGTCATAAGGCTTTCAGGCGCAGGAGCAACCGCCGTGCCAAAGAACAACTATGTATAGGGATTAAATCCAAGCTGAAATAATACATAGGAGTGAAATATGGGACAAAAGAGCTGCAATGAGAGGAAATACAATCATATCCATACAGGAGGCAAAGCATTTTGCCTCTTCTGATAAGGAGATAAGGGAATAACCAGCCTCCCAAAATGGTCTAAATATTGTATATCTCCTTTTTTTCTTTCACAAGTTATTATAGTTCATACTTGTGCTGTAAACACCTTTAAAGTGCAGCGGTGATCAAATGTAAACAGTGTGGGAGAAAAGCATGGTGCAAAATGCGTTGATATGGAAGTTCAGAGCAGTGCAAAGACAAATATATATGGTGCAAACAGTGAAAAGGTTATTTAAAAGTTAAGGTTTTCATCTGATCAAATAATATCTTTTACATTTATTTCTTATTCTAAAACACTGCTTCTTAATTTTGTAGGGTAAGTAAATGTAAGTGATTATTAATATAACACTAACTTTGATTACCTATGCTTATGCCTTAATGGAGGAAATACACACTCCTTCACTGACATATATAACAAGAAAGCTGCCTGAACAGAAAAAAGTGTTCTTACTGTTTTTTAATAGATTTTAAATTAATATTGATTGATTGATTCCTGCTACTGAAAATATGATTAAGTAGTTTTAATTAAGTCAAATCTCCCTCAGTCAAAACTCCAGTTTTCTGTTGCAAACTTCTCATTCACAGTTTGGTCGGTGTGGCAACTTTATTTAAAATGGGGTTGTGGTTTTTTAAAAGTATACGAAGTTGGCACCTCTGTGAAACACAGCACAGAGGAAAACAAAGGGTTAAGAAATCTGGACTTCGTGTCTAGAAATCAATGAAATTGTAAATGCAATTTAAGGACTAGGATAATTTGAAACTTTTTGAAGTCAATGTCTAAAAAAAAGTGAAGTTTTAGTGCAGCGTCTTATTAGAAACATGGTTATTGACCAAGGTGAGACTCTTGCGACGTGCTTGCCACCTGTCCAGTGGTGGTTGGATGAAAAGTTATATAACATTTCAGCTAGAAACAAAGGTGTGTGACAGCACATATTTAAGTTTGGTAATTATATCAGTCACTGTTTAGTATGTTTTTCAGGACATTCAGCCAGAAGAAACAAAATAAAATGTACATTGTCTTTTTTTTTTTTTTTTTAGTATATTGATGTTTTGTTTTACTTGATTCATCAGTTGGAGAAAAAAGCTAAAATTACAATTATTTACTTCATTTCTTACTTTATCGCAGTTCCTCTGACGAAAGTGATTTATATGTTTATTAGGAGGTTAACCCTTCAAATATCTGATGGAAATAGGTGTAAAAATATCCAGATAACAGTCTACAGAGTGTTAAACCAACAAATGTCCAGACAATTCCACCAAAGACCATGCCACATTAAAAGTCCCTCAGATGTCGGAAACGGCTTTGAGAACAATATGCTGATTTGCCAATTTATTAAAAATTCATTTAATAGCTGTTCCCAATGAGATAAAGCTACCAATGTGGGAATTTGCCTATTATGCTATGTTGTGAAAATTTGCAAAATAAAAAAAAAAAAGATGTGAGCTACATTATTTTCCTTGGGTTAGTGAATTAAAACGCAAATCATAAACGTGACTAAAGAAACCCCGACACAGAGACATGCAGCCTCTCCAGGAAATGGTCATGCTACCTCTAACTGATACCCATCTGTCACACTATCTGTGTCAGTATGATGGTGGTTGGTGCACAAGTGTCTGTGGCACACATTAAAGGTCTTATAACAGCCTCTGGGAACACATCTAAAAATGGCTTTTAAAATAGAGATTTATATATGTGCAAAAAGTGAATGATATGGTTATATTACCTCCTTTCTTTCTTGCATTTTAATGGTGCATTGAAGCATTTAAAATAGAAATAAAAGGTTTTAATTTGCACAAAATAACAAAAAACACATATAACCTTATAAATATCTTAAAATCTTGTTTAAGTGATATTATCCACATTTTTTTCTAAATCCAATTCAATTATTAATTAATCTAGGGCTGAAACAATTAATTGAATTAACTGGAGTATGAGACTGTAAAATGTGTCTTTAGCGGACAGAGCAACCCACCTTTGAGCAGCAATTTTACCAAGGTTGTAAAAAAATATATATAAACATTTTGCATTTAAAAAAGGCCAATATGTGTCTGTCAATATGCTCTATCGAGAGCTCCTCAAGTGGAAAAGTTTTAGTTTCACCTGGTTTAAATTTGTAGAAAGTCTTCTTTAAGGGAACCTTTTGCTATCCGATTATGAATAAAAAAAATAAGGAACAGATTAATCAATTTGCAAAATAATCATTAGTTGAAGCCCTAAATTAATTGCGTTAGTAAGTTCAGCCATTACTAGTGTCATTCTGATTATTTAACAATTTACTCCCTAATATAGAGAAAGCAATCTAATTAACTTACATCGTTTAAGGGTTTATTCAAAGGGTTTGGATTTGTAAACATGACTAAAAGAAAATGAAGATGGATTCGATCTAACAACACAAGCAGCTGCAGTTTACCTCCTCTTCCTGTTTAAAAGCTGTGGCTTTGCCTCACATAGGTGGACAAGCTGAAAAACTCTTGAAACCAGATTGCACACTACCTTTAAATAAGGAAATCGGCATCACAGCAAGAAAAGTAACTAGGATGTTTTTTCTAGCTATAGCTAAATACATATTTGCTCAGAATGCAAGATGATTTAAATTAGCAGTGCTGTCGTTTTTTATGAATGCACAGCCCTAACAAACCTGTTGTAATCATTCAGAAACAGAGAGCAAAGACAGCCCACAAAGGTGGGCTCTTATTTTTGCCATACGTCAAAATAAAAACTTATTCAAGAGAAACACTTAAAGTGGAATTAGTGTACTAACATTATAGCCTTAAGCGTAGAGGGCAATCTGATCATTAAAATAAACTTTATTGTTGATTGCTTTTTCTTATATGTCTTAAAAACTAGTTGCTCTCAAACACAAAGTCTTTCTGCTAAAGCCGCATGTGACTTGAAATGCAAAGCCACAACCTTAGTGCAGTTCAACCACCTTAGTTACTGTGGCCTATTTAGTCAAAGTGTCTCCAACTCTGAGGGCAGTGCGATAAAGGTTACAACAATATAACATTAAAACTCTCTACCTGTCATCAAGCAACCTGTAAAACACAGTCACTTAAGTTATACCAGTGCAGTTTGGTACCTGTTTCCGCTTTAAAGCAATTGCCCCGAATTTACTTCATGCTTTTGTTAAATTCGGGCTTTGTATCTCCTCGATTTCAGTAACTGGAGAGACACTTATCTAAAGCTACTTTAATTTATACAATTAAACCCTCAATGCTAAAATACCAGCAGGTTTATTTCTTCACTGAAAAATATGTTTGAAAATAATAAAACACCATTTCAGATATTTTTATTTTCTCACAATGGTAGGTAATTTATATTTAGTCTAAAACTATCTCTCCTTGTATTGGTTGACCACTTTAGTTATGGGGCTGTTACACAAA